CTCTCTTTATTTCAACGACCATCTATAACAAATTGAATACTTGCATGCAACTCACGCTGTTAATCTAGTAAAGACGTCTAACTAAATGAAAGCAATTTTTTAAAACTTTTATTGATAGTTTTATCATTGCTAATGATATAAAACTCATCCATGAATAATCAATAATTGATTATTTATATAATAAAAATTATTATTACATTATTAGTTAAATTAATGAGATTGGAATACCTTCATAGTATGAGGATATACTACTATTATTATACTACAACTATGTATATTCAAACAATTATATGACAACAGTACGTGATCTACAGAACTAATTTCAAAACGGAACCTTAAAAAATATTGATCTCAAAACGCCAAACTTTGAAAAATAGTGAAATATGTTTCAAAATATCAAATTCAAAAATACTTAAAATAGCTTTAAAAAATAAATATACATTATTTCAATTTTTATATAGTTAAAAAGTATAGTCATTATGTCGAAAAACATAACACGAAAAAAATTCATCTTACTAATTCAATTCGTTACTTACCTTTATTCTTAGATAGAAATTTAAAAAAATAATATTAAAACCCTTTTTATAACATTAATATAACATTATACGTTATAATAACATTATAAAATCATTATTATAACATTATTAAAAAAAAATTGTTATTTGAGTTATTATTTACCAGGTTCAAGGAAATTATAAAACTGACTTTCAAACGATTTTTATTATTTGGTTTTTTATGATTTTACTCAATAGAGCAAAACATTTTCCGGTTCATTTGAATATCATACTACATTTACTAACTATTCCTCAAATATAAATATTTTCAAAACATTTCACATTTAAATTATGTCAGTGGTTAACCATAAACATCAAATACTTTATTGACAAACATTATTGGTTTACTTTTCTTTAATCATCTTCTTTTTTTTTATCAACTCCAATGAAATAACATTCCACAACTCTAAGATTTATTAATTTTGTGAGGTGTACTCATTTCTACATAAAATATTATTATTATCCAAGTCATACAAAATAAATATGTACCAAAAAAAAGGTTACTTGAATTTGACATAAATCATTTTAAGTAAGAATAAAAGAAATTAAATACAGTATGGTGGGATGTGTAATTAATACTAGTATGATAACTTATTGTCTAGTCTAGCTTTTTAATGTCACAGACGGTTATAAAACTAAGCAATTCTTGTTCTCACTAAATGTTAATCGTTTATGATCCTTATAAAGCAGTCTATCAAAACATCATCAATTATCAATTTATCTTGGTTTAGACATTACATTATGCTCTTACGGTAAAGTGCCAGTTAGAAACGTGTAATTGAATAATTTTAAAACAACATTATGTTATTGTATACAGAAAATTACTTGTATTAGCTCTATAATATCCATTGCAGAATACTAATACGTTTCTTATTCATTATTTTCTTTTACATCTCAATTACACGAATCCAGTTAAAGTCAATCTTTTTCTATTGAAATAATAAATCTTATCACAAGACTATAAACTTCTTCGTTGTAAAATTTTATTTAAATCTTAAAATCTTTTCACGAATTTCCAAGAAAATGAAAAATACATCAACATTTTAATTTTCAAACAAGTTTTTATGCATTTTATAGACGTTTATTACATTATATGATTAAATGTAATTCCTGTTTTAATAACATTTATTATAATGAGTGATAAATATTATATAGTTGTAACTATATAATATACTGCACTAAAAATGCCATATCATTTATTTATTTATAAATTTGTTTTTATTATTAAAAAGCAACTTTAAGATTGTTTTTATTGCATTATATGCATAGAAGTAATCTGGACAAAATGTTTCTAACTTAATTTTTCCACTCTATAAAAATATTTCTTTATAAATTTACATGTATTTTTCATAATTTTTGGGAGGGCTCTTTAGATCATTTCAGATCACGCCTCGGATTATATATTCAAATAATGGTATTTATAACATTATTAAATGAAAAAATATATATTTAATCTTTAAATGACATACTACTCAATAGGAATAGATAATTACGACCTTTTTCAAGTAATCTATTTAGTTTACCCATGTCAAAATTCTTCTTTCAATTCATTAAATTTAATATTTAATATTCATTAAAATATACCAATAAAAATCTTAAATAAACAAAATTGTCCTAATTTATTTTATAAAAATACAAAGAAATATAACTGCAAGTAATTATATTACTTATTTTAATTTGGGTTTTGATTGTAATTTTAATAGAATCTAAATTTAGTTTATCAATAAGTTAAACCAGTAATTTTTTCATAAGTATTTTATACCAACGGGTATTTACATTGAGTACAGTTATCCGATACAAGTAAAATTCATTTATGCTGAATTACTTCTTTCGTGATTCATTTCAAGAATGTTCGTGGGAGACTCGGTATTGTCAACTCTATAATAGATAATTCAAGTGTTCCATTCATATAAAGTTTGAACCCTATAAATATTTAATTTTATCACCATATATGCTGACTGACATTTGACACAATTGTAGTAAATAATAATAAAAATATACTTGAAAGATACACATAAAAAATAAACAATATACTTCAGGGAAAGTCTTCAATTTCCATAAAAATTTCCTATTCAATCGTGAGAATTTGTTCCTTCTCGAAGTCGTGAGTTATTGTAATAATGAACAACTTGAATATTCTTAATGGAAATAGTGATTTTTCACTTTAGTTTAAAGAGTGTCAGTAAACAAAAACTAATTATTTGTAAATTTTGAAGTGTTCTATAATAAGCAAATTTACAGAACAATAGCAATTCACTCGGGTGGAAGTTAGAGAGTTAAGGAAATAGGAAGACATTTACCTATTAAAAATCTACCTTATCTTACTCGTAACTTATCTGAAGGTAAGATATTTATAATCGTAACAACTGATATTAAATGAAAAGTAACAGCAACTTCAATACTATTTTCGATACGAAATTACTAATCTGAAATATATAATCCATTTATGGTTTCGGCCCACCATCGAAAATATATGTGTGTGACTATTTTCCCATCATCTATGCTGTTTATAATAGTCGTTATAAATTTAAAATAAGGCAATAATATTTCTTAATCATGACAATCTATAATCACTAGCTAAACTTTTATAGAAAAACCGACTAATATTTTTAGAATCTGTTTAGACAATTTTTTAATCATATTAGAGAAACTTAATTATAATTATAAAAAAAATTACCTATTTACGACTTTTGGAACCTACACGGTCAAAAGTGATAGTCTTAATGATCCTGTCGGTAGTTCAATTTATTTCGACCCAAATACAGTTAATACTAAGCTTTCACATTAAATTACTAATCGTATGTTTTAATTTCATTTTTGTTTTTCCAATTTCCACTTTAAGATAATACAATCATAGTTTCGAACATAACACATAAGTGTTCAAAATTCTCTTTTAGGAATGTCATTTAAATAACCGGATGTTGTAAACCCTCCAAGGAGAGTACTTGATAAATTAAAATATTTACTAAAATTTACTAAAAAATCTATACTATATATGAAGTTCATGTTTCCATTCATACTATCGTCGTTGTTTCGTTCAAAAAATGAAACCAAATACTCGTATATGCCAAATTTCTATTTTTTCCAAAAAAAAAATTGTGATTTTGCAAAACATATAACATAAAGAATTGTTCACCAATGCGCTCTCTCTAAAAAAATATTACCATACAATTCTTAGCTTTGTATTTTTATATATTAGGTTGTTTTTATGTTTAGCGTTATATTTCTGTTTATATATTGAACATAAATGTTCTTATTTTTTATAAAGACGTACACAAATCTTAAAACCAAAATCTATAGTAAATTTTTAATACTTGTAGTTACCGTGCCTATTATTTTTATTTTTAAATGTTAATACCAAAACATCATTTTTGATTTTAACGTGGTTATGCACTTTGAATGAAAAACCGTCGATATATCGAGTCATACTGTCCTATTAGATTAATATAAATATTTTATATTTAAAAATGTATAAATCGTGACAACCCAAATCAAAAGGGATTAATGAAAACATGAATCAAAGAATTTGTTGTGATAAGCTATTTCACAAGCAGGTTTTAGTTTGAATGAAAGTGTCAGATTAAATCTAAGACTTCCTCCGTAATCGTTTTAAAACCAACTGTTTTGACCAAAAACCACTAACACGTGTAAAAACATTATGACAAGCTCTGTGATTTTTAATTACATTAATGCTAAATACAAACGGACGGGTTTTATTTTAATCAGATCATTGAATTCTAAAGTACATCACATACGTCAAAGAAATATTAGACTAAAAGCGGGTTTTTTTTTAATCTCTATTCAAAAATCCATCGTTGTTGAAACTTTTGGCTTATTAACGTAGTTAACTTTTTTTTAATTTTGCCATAAAAAATACCTGATTGCACAAAAATATTTAGTATAATGAATGAAAAGCAAAATACTTGAAGAAATCTTATAATTTTCCAATGATTCGCAGGAACTTCAAAAGGCATAATGAAGACACCAAGCGATTGCAATAATATTAAATTACGCCAAGTTACTCAATTTTTAACAAAAGTTTGATCGTTATGTTGGCCACGGAGAGATGACATTGATAATACTTTTGCACGATAAATACTCGTGTTACAATACCTGATCATATCGACATGATCTATTTATGCAGTGCACGTCATTTAATTGCACAGCTATAATTGTCATTACCAACGATGCTACCCACGCGCATTACTAAACTAATGGTGCCGATAAAATTTGTACACCTAAATAGGATGTCTAAATATATTGCCCGTGGCCGTGATTATTAGCGGAAAGATTTATCCGTAGGGAATGAGAGAAACGAAGACTGCATTTGTTGTGTGTGTACAGATGCAACCGCAATACCCCACCTCCATTTGGATCGGCGGCGCTGCACAAGTCGCCTTTCTCCTTTCGTTAGAATTTTCATTTTAAATAGGTATTATATGTTTTCCGTGTGGTTCATTGCCGCCAGTGATTTGTAGAACAGAGTCAGTAGGTTGTGGCCCTGCTCCAGGTGCTCGTCGTTGGTCGCAGTCTCGTGTTCACCGCACTCTTCGCCGGTCATCATATTCGCTTTCTTGCCGGACACGCTTCTCTACTGTACAAACATAAGTCAACTCCGTCTATCAAAAGCACTATATAAAAGTGGTATGCGATTTTAATCAAGAATTCGGTTATCAAACGCTCAAACTTGGTCATTAAAATAAGAAATCAACGCTTTTGACACACCGCTATTCGACCAACATCGCCATGAAGAGTCTCGGACTTACCGGGTCGATTTCAATTTTGGCCATTTGCCTATGTCTTTGCCAGTGTATATTACACCAAGGTAAGAATAATATCATATCGAATATATACGTTGAACAGTACGATTTTATGTAAAGTGAACTCGATAGATAATTATTATCACAATAATTGTAACGATAGGCTCTCTGAAAAATGTCACCGATCTAATTATCCAAATCGTTGAAATAGTTAACTGCAACTGCAGCAGTGAAATAAAATTTAGGTAATTACAGTTGTATATACTCTTTCAGGTTCTTGGTAGGAAAAAAATTTAGAATTTTTTTTTATAGCCTCTGTATACTATCATCACGTACAGTTTGTAATACGCATAATAAACACATTTTTACGTTACATACGTTCACCTATACTGTAATAGTTTTTTATTTTTCTTAACAGAGTAAGTAAAATACTTCCCACCGGTGTATTACTCTTAAAAAATACAATAAACAAAGAGATATTAATGCCGATAGTTTATTTTTATGGATTTATATTTACAGACTCATTTTTTTAACACATATTAAATTTAGCGCTACTTAAATGCTATGCCGATTACTTTTTGTACCAAGTTTATTTCTAATAAAAGATACACACAATGGTCTTTGTGTTGTCTTTTTATGATCATTTTCGACGTCAATGTACGGAAATCATTTCTCGAAACAAAGAACAATATTGTACCTTAATATCTGTGGTTAGGGTGACTACACATTGCTGTGTAACGGTAGCTAAAAAAACTGTTAATGTACTGCACTCACAGATCGAAAAATGCCAAATTTCGATGTTCACAATAATGCACACAAGTCGTTGGTTGGCTCATTGCACAAGGATGAGATCGTTGACCGAATAATTTTTCTCGATAAAAAATTTGAAAGTGCTTATATCTTCCGCATGACTCATTGTTAAGTTACAGACAATTCTAAAATTGCCCTTCAAACGATTTACTTGCTCTTAATAAACGTATTATTTATTTTGGCACGTGAAGTTTACCATACGGATGTTCAAGATCACAATCTTACAGATAAAAAATGTCACGAAACGTTTTTATGTCAACCGGAATTAACAACTCTACATTCAAATCGGACCAACGGTACAAGTTAACAGTTAACGCACTAGTTAGACCGGACTGTCTATTATAATATTACAGTATTTGCGAATAAAAACTAAATTATAAGTGTAAAATTTATCGGTCACCCAAAAATATACCGAAGACGTACAGCATTTCTCTGGTTATTTGTGTTCTTTGGATTATTCAATCAATTAAAACTTGTTATTCCTTCTGAAACGTGTAAGGCAATAACATCGAGTACGAACGAGTTTGGTATTGTCAATATTTTATGCATCGCGAAGACTTATTGTCACGGTGCAGCTTACGGATAATAATGAACGACAATGTTTAGCTAACAAAGTGTATGATCTACATAAATAATTAACAACACATTGTAAGAGTACTATGCGATAGTGTCCATTGGAATGACAAAACAATATTATAGCCACAGTGAAGTAATGACCGACGTCTGTATTGCTATTGAAACTGCATAACAACAGTCGTTATATACCAGAATTACATAAGTCTATGGCCTATTCAAGGCGAAGGAAGCGCAAAGACGGAAGAAAAAAGCTTTGCAGAAGTTATCACCCTGTTGGCCGTCCGTTGGGTGGAATGCAAGAGGAATCAAACTGGTTTGTGTATACTTGTATTGCGATCAACGGCGTTGAACTGGAAAAGCCGACAAAGAGCAATTAACTTATAAGATAAAATTATATATGTGTATAAGAAGTCGGATGTAGTAAAAAATAAATAGCAAAACAGGACGGCGATAGACGAACGCGTATTGTTTAAAAATAACTTCAGTTTAGTAATGACCGGCGATGAATAAAGTTTGTCATGCAAAATATCTATTTATTACAAAATATAGTTTTTGTTTCTGCAACTATCTTCGTTCCAAGACTTTCGTTGCGCATAATTATCTTTGAATATAATCCAATAACTACACGAGCGGCTAAGTTGTACCGATTAATCTATTACAATGCCTAAAAATAACTCGTGTAAAAAAAAAAGTTTGTCTGTTGTTAGATATCATTCGGCAAAGCAAACCGATGTCGCGAATGAAGTCGTTTACAACTAAAGTCCGAACTACGACGGATAAAAATATGGGCCAACCCATCGTATTTTTTTAGTGTTGGGTTAAAAAATCATTGATAACGCGCCGAGCCATTCGGTACAACCATCGTGCGGTAACACTAATTACGTTCATGGGACTTGGCATGGAAACACAAACCACAAAAAGTTCATCCCAAGTCTGAACCATATACACGTGTGCGGTTATTACGGTTGTTACACGCTAATCACAACTGTAACATGATTATTATACTATCTGCTGCAATATTAGATACGTCGGAAACGGCATTGTAGGAGTTTTGGAACACCGTTCCAAACTGTTCGTTCCCAAGTCTAATTTCCCTTTGCACGACACGCCACCGCTGTGTGTTCACCATGCCAAACTGGTTCTGGATCAACTCGTCATTATTACGGGGATCCATAGCCGATCAACTCACGAAGACGCTATGGGAACACGATATCACTGGTCGTGCAATGGATATGACGGTATTTTCGGTAAGTGTACTGATATTGACGGTAATAATACAGACAACTGGACGTTTGGACGTCCAAGGTAAACACATACAGTTCAAGTAATATACATTCTTACCGACTATGATTGCATAATAATATGCATTGTAATAGATCTGTAATACAACGAACAGAGCATACAAATCTCAATGTGCATGACAAGTTCAGTGAACTTTTGTCACCGTGCAACTGTAGGTAGAAACCAAAACATGCATGACAATGCGCACTAGACGACAGCTACTACATCGCATATTAGATGTGTATCACGACGTACGTACTCCCTAACGAACTAAAAAATTATAATTGCCAGGTGTAGACTATGTACTCGCCATTTTTGGCTCAATTTCACATTACACGCCAATTATCCAATAATACAAACAATTTTTATCCCGATGGAATTAAAAGGAGATGTTTACATTTCATCTGATAGTCTCCATAACCTCAATAGTACTATTTTATTTCGCGTTCCTCATATTTATCTCTTCGCTTATAAAAAATCAAAACCCGTAAAGCATACCTTATTTTGCGTCGAGACGGACAACGAACCCTAACAACCACTTAAAGAAAATTATGATAAATTTCAACTGAATTAAAACGAAAAATTGCTCGAATTAATAAACGTCAGAAACAAGTTTGCCAACAAAAATAAAATATCAAATGCAAAAATTGCGAATAACATTAATAGTATAATAACTACAAGCGTAATATCTTATAAATTGACTTTTATTAAGTTTTCATAATGTTATTAATAACGTAACACAAACGATATTCTAAGAATCTCATTCAAAATAACCCGTTCTGCAAATTTAAATTCATAAAATCAAAATCCAAATAGTGAAAATACAACTAAAACTTATCTTCTTAGTTTATTTTTTGACTTAATCAATTTTATGTTTGTATACATTTGAAGAAGCCTAATAAAAAATAATATTGCTAATAAAAATCTTTGAATAATGTTTTAATTCTCAAAACAGTGTAGTTTTTTCATCGCCGCATTACAGTCACCGAATTATCAACGCTTATAAAATTATTAAGTATTTGGCCGAAAAACGTTTGGACAACGTGTAATTTAAAATATTAGAGAGCTAAGAGTATATCACATTAGGATACGCCTCCCTAAATAGTATCTGTATCGTGATGGACGTCGTGGACCTCGCTTTTTAATATGATAATAATTCGTCCACTGCATTACTGTAGCGATAAAGACAACAAATTGATCCAAACAAACAGCTAACCTTAATGTAAAAATCTTGTCTAATTCCTAAGCTTCTACTCGGTTACGTGTATTAGTATAATGTAAAAAAATTCTTAAGCTTCTTCTTTAATCTATACGTGTAATTTATATAGGGTGTTCAGTAAGTAAGAAACGGGTTTCTATTGTTCTCATTGTTTGTAACATCTGACCTGTTTCCTTAGTTACTAATCACTCTGTATACTGTATGCACTGAAGTGACATTAATGCTCTTATCGTTAGTAAATATTACTACCAATTTTTTTTAATTTTATGACAAGCACTGTAAAGGATTAAAGTATTATTAATACTCTTATGATTTTACAAAACACTTGTGTATACATTGAGTTAATGTGGATATCAATCAATTTCATTTGATAAAAAATACATTATTTACGAAAAAAAAACAAATTTTTCAATTAAAAATTTTCTTAACATAATTGTTAAATTATGTTAAATTACTTTGATTACGACAAGTGGGTTGAACCAAAACGAAAATATTTCAACATGATGAAGGAATATATTCGATTAAAATAGTTTGTGAAATTATAAGATACCTACAAAATAGATGAAGTATTAAATAGAAATATTATGAACAAACTTTTTGAAAGAACTATTAAAAATAAAATTAACAAACTATTTTGTATAGAAATTATTTTTCGTTGTAATACATCAAAAAATATTGATAAAAAATCAATACACTAAATTCTACTCCCTAAATGTAGTGAAATCGTAGTACATTAAAACAATAAAACAATATTTTAAATGTAAAAGGATTTTTAATGGTTTACCATAAAACATTATACATAGTGATTGTTTATCTATGACTCACGCAATATATTAAAAAACAAAAATATAATATAATTTCTTTTCTTTTCAGAAGTTAATAGAATTATACGTTTTATAATTTTGATAAAAAAATTCAGTTCTACCGCCCTAATATTCCTTAAAAGTCTTCTCAATTGAAGTTTTTTAAATAGAAACATATATGCTTAACCAACTTTACAGACTAAATAATAACTGGTCGATAACAACATTTGGACAAGTATTTTGGAAGTTATTAACTCTTTAATATAAAGGTTGGAGATTAAATGCGGATCTGTTTATTTTTATATTTAAGTATTAATGAACCACACTACTCTGCCGCTTTGTTATAAAAATGCTAATGTCTTTTAATATACTTATCCAGAAGTTGTTATCGATTAGTCATATATTTTCTTAGATTGATTATTTTCTAGTTTGTAAGTTGGTTAGAAATATATAATTTAAAAACATAAGTTAATAAAGGAGCTAGAGAGGAGTATGATCAAATTGTTTTCTGAAAATTATAGAATGTAGGATACATTTACTTTGTGAAAAGAAAAAATTATATTATATTTATATTTTTAAATATATTGCGTTAGTCATTATTGAAAAATCACTACGTATTATTTATATTAAAAGAGTCATTGAACGTATAAATCAACTTATTACCATCAATCATATAATCAAAATTTAAAAAGTAATACTAATGACATTAGCCATTTTTTTAAATTAAAAATATATTCGTATACTCATCTCTTTAAGTATTCTATTAGTACTATCAAATTGTCTTATAATGTAAAACTATCCTTGATATTAAATAATTTCACGTGCACAAATTAGTATTGTAATGAGTATTCGTAATTAATACGCATAAAATGAATAAATTCAAAACACAAAAAAAAAAAATCATTTTATACATATGACTACAATTTTATTTTTACAATTAAAAAATAATTTACCATATTGTTAAAGAAACAAAAATATATTATGTCACTATATTAAGTAATAAATAATTAATATTATAATATCGATTAATAAATTACATTTCTAAATAGTTTTAATTCCATTAGGTAGTTAATAATATTAATATTCAATACGAAATAGACACATCACAATGAACTATTAACATAAAAAGAAACCGAGTATTTTAACATCACTAATTATTGTAAAAATAAAGTATTATGATCTGAACACTAATTTAATTGATATTCCTGATGGTTCAAATCTGAGAATAATCAACTCAACAATTTCTGATTGAAAATCACTATTCATATATTTGGCAATGTGAAAGTATTTATAGTTAAATTGTTATAAAAAGGGAATTATTAAGAATTTAGCATAATAGTTAAATTCTAACGCCAACTTAATAGGCAGTAGATAATTTAACGGATATCAAGAAGTAATAACTGATATCAGTCGTATTAAACAATAAGCATAAATATTAAAACATTCCTTACGTACATTTTATAAATCTAAGAATTAATATTCGTTTAGTACATAGTGTACATACTCATTTGTTAAACGTGTATCCTAATATTGGTTGCCTAAGTGAAATTATAACAATTAATAGGTCACTTAGCCGACATAATTAAAATAATATCCATTGGAGAACTATTATTGTAATCACACTAAAACATATTATAATATAATACGAGAAATTCGCCAGACACAAATTAATAAAATCTAAATATAATATTATCACTCATCACAGTAAAAATAAAAGAGTTTCATTTGCAAAATTCAAATATAAGGTTAAAAAAATCATGCGGGTAATATAAAATAAATAATATTCCAGAATAGCTAAAATTAAACAATTTTGTTTTTCCAAAAATTAAATAAAAATACATTCTGTGGGCAAGTTTTTTTTCAAAATTTTTACAATATACATTTTTTTTTTTTCTTCGACGATGCGGAAAAATAGAAATCAATTAAATAGAGCACGAGCGAATTCACTCAAAGTTAGTAGACAATAAAATGTCCTACTGTTTGTTTAAATACTCGAAAAAAAACTTGAGATTCGTTAAAAAGTAACCACTGTTCGGTATAACTGGCTGTGAAAATCTAATTCATACACTTTTCATTTTCCATTGAGTTGACTTCTACGTCAAATACACATCATTGGAAAACGTTTTAATAACTTAAATATAAGAAGTCTAAACGATTGTTACTCTATCAGTCAAAAATACTATTAAAATAATACGATTTTGATCATACTTTTCTTTGAGATGGACTCATGGTGGTTATTTTGATAGGATAGTTTTTTTGATTGACAACTGAATTTACGTTTAAAGCGATCCGAACCCAAAGGATTACTATAAATAGAGAAAGGAGAAATTATTGAATAATAATGATGAGCCGGAAGACTCTGTTCGTGATTCGTTTACCCTAACCGATATTCAAATTCAAATCGACAGCCAATACGTGCAAACGAGTGTTATTTTATCTTCTGGTCAGTAGGTCAGCCACGACAACTGAAACCATCATGCGACGGTCACATTTTTATTTCTATTGTATACACTGACAAAGAACGAGGCTAGTGACCCTCCAGACCTAAACGACTAGACGCAGAATAATAGAAAGTAAGTTATTATATACAAATGTAATGCGTTCGCTTATTCCTCTTCGATAAAAAATGTGCGAACACCGTCGTCGACTTGCCAGACGATCCAACGTCCTCGTCTGTCTCGCAGATATTGTTGTGAATAAATGCATTAAACTACTTCGCTGTATTACTTATAATACAAGTATTTACAAAAAAAAACTCGAAAAAAGAAAACTAAAAACACTAGAAAAATATTAAAAGACATAAATGTTTTTCAATAATTTTTAAATATAAGAGTCTTAGGTCGACTATTTTTCTGAAATAGAAGAATAGTTACAAAATACTAACATACTGTTGAATTGCCAGTTGAGTTGCTTAAATTTAAATGATAATCGTACGTGGATAGAACTACCTAATTATTAAGACGTAGGCGTTGAAAAAAACTGTAGACCACTCAATTATAATTTAAATTGATTGAAATGTACACAACTCTACTATTTGTAGTTAATTTAAAATGACTGGTACTCGCTGATGCATTAGACATTTTACGTGCTATTTATACTTTTTTTATTACACAAAAATGTATTTATCTCGTGTATCGTAATGATAATTATTTAGTTTATTGTGAACTCTTGGTTTAGACCAATGAGAAAAAAATTGATTACTACGATTTATAATTTTAACGCACTTTATTCCATTACACGCATAACAATATTGCTGTTTTATTTTTTATTTTTCGTCATAATTATTATTTTCTCTCAATCCGCATTTGGTTTTTGGGCTTCGTTTTCTGTAATTAAAGTCCCGTAGATAACTCATTATAAACCGTAACAAATGATAACGTACGATAGTATAACAGTTGGTGGTATAAATACATATCCAAATAATAACTATAATTAAATGACTGTATGAAAATTGAAAAAAAAAAAACAATCGGCTATGACTATATTAGTCAATCTTTTTTAATATCGTCATAAACAAATTATATTCAACGAGATCTCATGAATTGGTTATTGCCGGTTATTTTCGATAATCATCGACGAGTCTATTCGATTTAAATCGCCAAAAATAATATAGTAAAGCATTGCTAGATTTTGAAAAAAAAAACATATCTATGTTATTTTTTAAATCTCTGCATTTTCAAATAAAAGATGATTATCAAAATTTATAATCCGTTGTTAATTCATTTAAAACTGTCGGAAGACTTGAAACTTGATAAGAAAATTTCTAATAAACTTTTTTTTCATCAGGTGTTGCGGCAGCGAGAGATTCCGGTTGCCCGAGAATTTGTCCACAGGGCAGTTCTGAAGAGCCAGTTTGCGGTTCTGATGGAATCATTTACCCGAACAGTTGTGAACTCAAAAAGAAAACTTGTGGCAAAGGTACGAATAATTTTTTTTTTCATTATCGTACAATAATTTACAAATTTATTCAATCTTAATTAAAACCGTGTTTAAGATTTTATCGCGAAGTGGCTATATGAACATTTTCGTTCCTATTTTTATCAGGATGACCGTTTAAATAATATCAATGCGCAATACATTTTTTTTACATTGTTACAATAAATTTGTATATTTTTATAAATGTTCATACTTCATATCATTAATAATATACTATTATCAAATCGTATTCAAATCAAAGTTATTAATACTGGTAATCTATATTAAAACTTCTCATTTTTGTGTAAATTATCGTTGATAAATATAATAAAATATTTATAATATATATAATATTTTTTATATAAAACTACCAATATTAAAAATAAAAAAAAGAATTTGATCAACCATATGTTGACAACATTTATAGGTTTCACTCCTTAAGATGAGAGAAAATAGACTTAGATGGTTTGGTCACGTTATGAGGAGAGAGGAACGGAAGCTGTAAGTAAAATTATAGCAATGAATATCGAAGGAAAAAGAAGTAGAGGAAGACCAAAAAAGAGATGGAGGGATGTTATTGAATGCGATATGAGGACAGCTGATATGGGAGATCGTGTCAATTGGAAGTTTGGGTTAAGGGCGGCCGACCCCAAGTAGTTTGAATTAAGGCGAGGAAATAGAAGAAGAAACTCCTTAATATTGAGATTCAGCCTCAAAAATTAATCCCCCCCTAAAAATTACTTTGACGCATCTCCAAATCATGGTTAGGTTTATAAGTTGTGTGTGTTCTATTTGTATAAATTAATTTGACGCCACTGACAATTTTTAACTGTATGCATTTTTTTGTATAAGATCTTAGATTTTAATTTGTATTTTATGTTTTTAAAAGGCGTAACAGAAGCTGAAAATTCTACGCAATGTTTGCGAGCTTACGGATCGAGTTGCGAACACCGTTGCAGCAAAGAACAGGATCCAGTGTGCGGAACGGATGGCCGAACGTACTTAAACCGATGCATGATGCAAGTAGAAATATGCAGGTTAGTATAAATACATGTAATTTATAGAAAATTAAATCAAAATTGTTCTGTAAACGGTTCACTCTTGAAACATATCATTAAAAGACGTTTTTGTTGAATATCGAGGTGGATTATTTTTAATCCCCAGGACAGTTAGTTTTTATTGTATAAGTTATTAGTTATTAAGTATTCACACGGCACTATTTTTTTTTAAATAAGTTTAACTACTTCGATAAAAATTTAAGGATTAGTAGTGTATTGCAGTACAGGCAGATATACCGTGTTTGGTAGTGGAGCAGTACTTTTAATGTTCACATTAACGTTACCAACGAAACTGATATATTTTTATAGAGTTGGCACTTCCATGTCGCATCTTGGGCCTTGCAATAACATATCAGCCCACCGAGAAAATTGTCCAGTGAATTGCGATCAAGCGCCAATGGATGGGCCAATATGTGGTTCCGATGGCAACGTTTACAGAAACACTTGTCAAATGAAATTGTTTACTTGCGGGTAAATATTGATATACAATCATGAGATTTTCATTACCAGAATTATTGTTTTTAACTGAGTAACGATTTAAAACAGACAAGGTGTGGTGAGGACTTCTAAAAAACATTGCCAAACAACAAGACATTGCCGCGAGTCATGCTGGCGCGTTTCAAAGCCGACTTGTGGATCCGACGGTGTTATCTACAGCAACGCGTGCCGAATGAAATCAAAGAACTGCGGCAAACATGTATTTGAGGTTCCCATGGCATTCTGCTTAAGTCAAGAACGAAATCGAATAGGCTCTTCCAGTGCTTGTCCAGTAAACTGCGATAAGGAAAAAGAACGTTTAGTTTGTGCATCTGATGGCAACATTTACCGCAACGAATGTGAAATGAAAATGTTGAATTGCGGGTAAGTGCAAAACAATAAGCTATAAATGAATTCATTTTAATAAAAAAGTCATTTAGTCAGCAAAACAAAAGAAAAGTAACCAAGGTGGACTTTGACAAGTGCAAAATCAAAGTGAACAAGTGCAATAAAATGCAATGTTCGGATGAAGCCGATCCTGTTTGCGGTAACGATGCACAAACTTACAAAAATCCATGTCATTTAGAACTGGCCACTTGTTTGTGAGTAAACATTTTTTTTTATTTTATGATCTAGCGCTTATACACAATAAACTATATCTATAGGAGAGGAATACAAATGGCTCATGTCGGTAAATGCTCATCACTATTGACAGCTGAAAAGTGTCCAGAAAGTTGCGAAAATGAACGCGAAGAACCTGTATGTGGATCAGATGGTAACGTTTATAGGTAATCCATTAAAAAAACAAACGGATAAGAAAAAAAAATTACACTAAGGTTTTCGTTTAGGTCCGATTGCGATTTGAAGATGAATACTTGCGGTCAGAAAGTTGTGGCTGTACCGCCACACCACTGTCCTACCACAGCGCAATGTAAACAGCAATGCGAAAATGTTAAACAGTTTGTTTGTGGTTCTGATAACAAATTTTACAGAAACGAATGTGAAATGAAACGTGAAAACTGTGGGTGAGTATTAATTTTGAACATAATTATTTAATATCAGAATAAAATAGGTCTCTCATGCGGTATTTTATAACCAAGTAATTTAAAGTCCATAATTCAAATCAAAGCATGTTCTCGAGTTCTAATTTCAAAAGTTTAAAAAAAGGATCCTAACAAGGGAAATGATCAGGATGCTTAATGAATTTGTTTTAAGTTTTAAGTTAACTTTGTGAACTAAGTTATAAGTTGTACAAATTGCTCTACGTATATTTTTTGTCTATTTTATTTAAAATTATTTAAATATTAATTTAAAACAAATTTCAAAAATTTTTGTTAAAATGACATCTGGATTTACATTTAATATTTAACTTAGAAAATTATATATATTATAAGACAATATAGTGCCACAAATTTAAACCGATATCTGCGTTTTAGGATAAAATAATAAAACTTGGGGCCTTTAAATAATTATTACAAGAATCATTTTAACAAATCGTTATCAATTCTTTTTCAGGAAACATGTATATGTTGTGCCAATGAAAAGATGTCTGGCAGGATTCCAGTTCAAAGGTTGCCAACGAGTTTGTCCACCACTGTATGATCCAATTTGTGGTTCAGACTTAAAAACATACAGTAATGATTGTTTCTTGGAAATGGAAAACTGCCGATCCCGGTCACTAGTCACAAAGCAATACCATGGCGTGTGTGGTCAGCCAGTAGAAGAACCCAAAAACTATCTGTACTGATGCTATTCAATTTAAAATGAAATAGGTCTTCATTATTGTTCTTCGTCTCATATAATTACTAAGTCATCAATCAGGACTTTTTAATTTAATATAGTTTTATTCACTTAGTATCTTAAATTCAAAATTATGTGTAACAATTCCCCTCATTATTTCATTTTTGTATTGCAGCAATAGTAATTATCATTACAATGTATTTGGCTTTTAAGACAAAAATTAATCAAATTACATTGTATTACCTGAATTAGATTATTAGGGACTTGAGAATTAATTTTTAAGCTTTATTTATTTATGTTTTTACACGTGTGTATGTGAATCTGTATTAATATTATTTAAATATTATCATGTATGTATAATTATCCCATTGTTCAATAGACTGCTCACCTTCCAACTAAGCTTAGTGAAGTCTGTAGTCGTAAGACAGCATTCGCTCATAATATCTATTGCGAATAAGTGCCAATTTAAAATATATAAAAATAAATTATTTATTTAAATAATGCAACGATTTCATAGATTATATGAACACATAAAATATAGGATAAATCTTACAAAATCCTAAGTTAAATTAAGAATAAAACTTAATTATAACTATTAGTTTTTTAATTAATCACAGAAAAATCATCTATATATTATATGACATTATTGATGATTATACAAATTTATTTTTCAATTACAGATCCAAAATAAATTAAGTATTTCTTTTTAATGGAGTCAAACAACTGCCCGAGGGGTATGCTTTTTTAAACTTTTCTATTAGATCTTGATCTGTTAATCTTATACCTTCTACCTGATTTCCAAGAGTTATCCTAAACATAATTATAAATAAATAATAATTAAGCTACTTCTGATCTAATAAAAATTTACCAATTTGGTTGAATATTATGAGCTCGGCCAAAGAGTTCAATTTTTCGAGTACCAGGTGACAATCGTTCGATTATACCATAAATTTCATCTGGTTTATGACTAGTATCTCTTACTTCAGCTACAATAACATCACAGTCTAGACCACAATTTAAATTTGCCGGTTTTCCTTTCATTCCTACCTTTATAAAAGCGTATCAAAATTAACAGTAAGAATGTACCAATATAAAGTATTGTACTTACCAAACAATGTTCTTTACCATGATTAAGCCAGTGACCTGTTCTGCCAGTTCTTATAATTCTTTGCAACTGATTTGTTTTTACCCAAATAATTTCATCAACACGTTTATAGCCCCATAGTTTAAGACATTCTCTTCCTAATTCCATAGCACTATATAAAATTAAGAAATCGTATATTGTTAATAAAAACTAAATGTAAGTATTTTTTAATTATACCGTCCAGTAACCCAAAGAAATATTAATCCATCATCTTGTAACTGAGGAATACCTAATCGTCTCATTTCATCGTCAGACATAGTTCCATAAGGAAGTTCCATATGGATATCCCATGGTGGATCAGCCATTATGACAGCAAATTTTCCTATCAAATATTTTCAATTAAAAGGAAAAATAGTATAGAATTATGAAGAAGCAAAAAAATTATTTATAAAAATTACGAAGTTATTAAAAAAAACTTAAACGTGAAGACGTAGCATACACGACACAAGTATAAATTATATCTGAAAGTGATTAACATCGCTATCACAAAAAATATATTAATCTAAGAAAAGGACTTTTTACATTTTAAGCTTGTTCCAGTTTAGGGGATCGTCCCAACAGTTTTGAAACATCATCTCATTTAAACTTTTTTTCTGTCTCTTAAACTGAATCTTTTTGAGTGATATCGATATGTAACATAGGTTTTTTAGAATATCATTTATTAAAGCTGTACACTTTAATATTACACACTAATTATATGCCTTAGTTATACAGAATATCACATACAATTTTCAAAGTTGCATGGTGCAATGTAAAATTGTTGTTTGTATTGTTGAGTTATCATTGCTTAAATGTAATGCTATAAATGTACCAAAACGAATAGATGCATATATGCATGTAATATATATTTAATTCGTTGTAGAGTTCATCTCCAAAGCCATAGTTACAAGCCCAAAAGTTGGAGCTATAAAGCTGATTAAGCTTGTTTCTTATTTGCTATTGAATTTTTGTTGTTGCTTTTGTCGTTTTTATTTCTATTTTGTTATTATTTTTATTTCTATCATTGTTGTTGTTTTGTTTTTCATTGAATACGAAACACAATTTATCTGCAAATTATTTTATTTTTATGGCCGAGTACAGTAAAAAGTGAAGTGCATTTTTTTATGAAAATAAGTTAATATGTAATTGTACTAAATTTCTATTAAAATGTATGATGTAAAGTTTGAAAAGTAAATACTTCATATTTTAGTGACCAAAACGCTGTAAAAAATTAATAATATATAAGCAATATTATCTCTTAAAATATATTTAAATTTTTAAAACGATAAATATATATTTAATTCATTTTTGAACTAAGCCATTGATATATGTATTATCAAGCTTTTCTAACCGGATTCTTAACATACATTTTTCTTTAGCTTCATTCTCTCTCTATCATTTTACTCTTGTTTATTATAACATTAATATATTACGGGTATTTTTACTTTTAAAACTATTTTTGGGAATAATCTTTAGAAGTTATGGTTAATTTAACTACTAACAATATGTGATAATTAATAAATAATGTCAACATACATAAGATAAAAATTTTGAATTTTGAGTTTTTTGACAATGTTTAAAAAATAATAATAAAAAAATCCATAAATGTCAATACACCCAATGTGATTTGAACACTTGCCTTAAACACAATAGACTATGATTTACTACCCTGGAAATCAACCACTGCAATTGCAAGACAATAAATTTAAGCTGGTTCAATTTTCAATGTTTTTTTTTAAATTTTAGGGGATGTTGCAAAAAATTAAAAATAAATTTTAACAATCATTCAAAGAAATCGGTCTAGTAAAGGCTGAAAAAAAATAACGACAAAAAAAACACATCATAGTAAAATTAATACATTCTCAGCTTCACTTCAAACCTAAAAAAAATTGTTTTAATTCACTCAATTTTCAAAAATTATTGCAGTTTCAAGTAAAATAATAATTTCAAAATTAAGTGATTATAAAAATTGGAATTTTTTGGGGTTTTTTCTCATTTACTAGGAATGAGAGATATTTTTTCAATATTGGAGAATAATCCTTAATATTTTTTGAAATTATTACAACATAATAAAGTAATAAAAATATTTTATAACATTAATTTTTAAAATTGCTATTAGGATGTTTTCAACAAAATACGATTTGTGATATTTTATCATATTACTAAATAAAATTGATCTAGTAATAGCTGAAAAAAAATGACACAAAAAAAAAACATCATAGAAAAATGAATACCTACTCAACTTCACATCGAAGCTATTAATATGAACTTAATGTAGAACAATTTAGTTGATACTAACCTAAAAAAGTAAAATCCATAAATCTTAAATCACATTGAATCCATTGACATAATGGTGGAGCCAACTTTTTTTTATCTGGATGTAACCCCTTTTTAGCTGGAAAACTATTTAGCGCATTAACTAAATTTACTTTACTTGTGACTCCATCGACCTCATAATGAACATATCTAAAATTGAAAATAATTGAAATTAAAATATTTCCATAGGGGAACAAATAAATAATCAAGAATGTAGAATAATAAATGAATAATAAATGAGTTCACTGTTACATTAATTTGTATTAAAAGGTTAAATCAACCATTAGCCAAAAACTAAAATACTACATTTCCTTAGCCCAATAATTATATGTAGTTTTTAAATTTTTTATTTAATTTTTAGTCATTGTTAGTTAGATCATACAACTTTGATAAATATTATAAATAATATTTAAAATTTAAAATAAATGATTTTTATTCTAATTATATAATAATGCTTTATTTAGGTGTGAAAATTATAAAAAAAAAGAAAAAATTATAATACCAAAACCTACAGGATTCAAATTTTAATAACTTTACAAACACTTTAAAATACTATAATAAATTCAACCGATTTTGCACTCATATATTTTCAAAAATAAGTATTTATTTATTAATGAAGCAGTGTGGATTTTTCTTAACTTTTTAATATAAAAAATATTTAACAAAAAGTAATAATTATAATCTTACTTGCATGTGTCCATATGGAAACAAGTGTTAAGAAATGAACAATCACCTAAAGATTCATCAGTATGTTGTTGAATAATTTTTTTAAAATGAAGTTTTTTACAAACATGTCCTTCCATACAATCAGAACGAGTACCATGTGGACAAAACTCCATAACATGTGTGCCTATTACACATTATTTTTGAAATTAAGATAACTCATAACTTCTTAAACTAATATTATTATAAATATATTGTATGTTTTAAATAAAACACAAATGAAAAATTATTTAATAATTGCAAACAGTTTATATTAAAATAGTGCAATATCATAAATTTCTATTTTAAGTGTAATAATTAAGTGTATCAAAATTAGTTGATGAATTCAATTTGTCGCTTTAGGATTAGAAAAACATATCAATGAAAATAAAATTATATTTTAAAACAACTTTATATTATTATCCTTATTGAATTTAATTATTTTTAACCATATAACTTAAGAGGTATTGTAACTAAAGTTATTACTTCCAACTCTAAAAGTTATATTGTTGTAACACTTAAATCTACAAAAAAAAAAAAAACAGTATATAATAGTTTAAAAAAATTTAAAAATTATTATGTTAATATATTCCTCTAATCCTGCACCAACAATTTAATTTTATTTAAAATTCATTGAACATTATTTGAAGGATAACTTCAATATTTTACTTGCCTCCTTTAGATCGAAAACGTTCAGCCAATGATTTCTCTTTTGCTGTTGGTTTATTCAAAAGCTCCATAATTTCTTCACTAACTTTTTTGAATTCTTTTTCTCGTGTAGATGGCATTGAAATAAGTGACTACAATTGTAAGTCTAAATTTTAACATATAATTTCAGATTAATTATTTGTATAAAAATAGTAATACTTACCATGATATCATCATCTGAATCTTCTGGATTTCTTTTTTCAGTTGTTAATTTTGGAATTTTAGATTTTTTTAAACTTTCATTGATATCTTCTTCTGAATTAATTTAAATCATATGTGACAAATTAGAACTCAGAAAATTATTTAAATAAATAAATATTAACTAAAAAATAACTATTAACAATAAACTTTAAATAAGTTATATGAATATTTAAGCATAATAGAAGAGAATTATTTCAAAAGTCAAACTATAGGCTTTTCATTTATTAGCTTAAATGTAAAATTAAAAAAACCCAGCACAGGGGGGTCGCGGCACAGTGGTGACGTGGCATAGTTGGATCAAGTATAATGATATCTGACAGTGATTAAAATCACTATCAAAAAACACGCTTCGATGCAAATCTTTAGATAGTGTTTAATTGTAAAAAATTGGTGGATTATTCCAAAAGCTATATGATCTGCTATTTTCTTATTAATATCCTGAATGAAAAAGGGAATATTAAAAAATATTATTTCTCATAAAAAATTGTGTTGATTCATACACTTTTTAATAAGTTATAGCATTATAAAGTAAAAAATGTAAAATATAAAATCGAGAATTTTCACACAAAAATAGAATTCGGTAGCCATTTTCACCACGAAGACAAGGCCAGAGGTCAAATTTTTTTTTCCATAATAAAGTACATTACATTAGCTTTAATTTAAGATATATATAAAAGAGTCAAACCTCCCGGAACACTTTCAAAAGTTAAGTTGAAAAAGTTAATTTTTTGTGAAAAAGTTGTAATTTTAAACCCCCCCCCCTGTGGGCAGGTAAAGGGTTAAATTTATAAAAAAAATATACCAAATGATAGGTAAAGACATCAAGCATCTAAAAAAAAAATTATATTGATATGTTCATTTTTGAAAAAGTTATGGCAGTTTTTAGTAAAAAAAATTGAAAAAATTTCGAAAATTAGCGATTTTTAAATTTGTAATTTTTTTAGAGATTTCTCCCATTTACGGGGAACGAGGGAAATTTTTTCAATTTTTGAGGGTAATGTCTTCGACTAGATACAATTTGTGATCTTTTGACATATTGTTGAAAGAAATCCGTTTGGTGAGAGCTAAGAAAAAGTGGTATCAGACACAAAAAAATAAAAAAAAAAACATCATAGTAAAACCAATACCTTCTCAGCTTCACATCGAAGCTAAAAGTATTTATTTTTCTGATGTTTTTTTTTTTTTTTGTTTATTTCTGTCACCATTTTTCTCAGCTTTCACTGTACGGATATCTTTCAACAATACATCAAAAGATCACACATTGATTCTAACTAAAGAAATTGCCCTCAAAAACTGAAAAAATTTCCCTCGTTTCCTAAAAATGGGAGAAATCCTGAAAAAACACAACTTTTGAAATCAGTAAATATCAAAATTTTTTTTCTTAAAACTGCCATAACTTTTTTAAAGGGGTTGACTTTATCTTGTGAGTAGAAACATATGTTACAAGACTTGGGGTTCTGAGTTTGATCCCCGTGGTGCCAATAAAATTTTTCATTAGTGGTGTCTGGTCTCTGTTGCAAGCTGGCCATAATACCCATCCCGTTCATTATTGGTGTAGCCAAGAACCATCTTTAACTTACTAAAATGTGAAAAAAGACCACCAACATGCTGGTAGCATATTAAGTTCCAAAAATAGAAGAATGTAAAATTGATCATTTTTTTTTTTGCCATAACTTTATAAAAAAGAACACATCAAGGCAATTTTTATTTATAAATGACTTAGATATTTCTTTTTCTTTTGATATCAATATATTTTTTAAACCTGAACCTTTATCTGCCCACAGAGAGGATTTAAAATAACAACTTTTTCAACTTAAGTTTTGAAAGTGTTCCGGAAATACTGACATTCCAAGCTTTAAACATATATTAAATTAAGACTTATGTAACATACTATAAATTAAAAAAAAAAAATTTGTCTTGGCGACTAATATTCTGTGTGGATATATCTGCCAAACATGCTATTTTTGCATTAGAATTTCCAATACTGTATCTTCAACTATCATCTATACTTGTCCCAAATATACTATATAATGTACACCTTGTGCCATAACCCCACAAATAATTTTATTTTGATACTATTATGTTAAGTAATTAAATTTTTATAACTATAATTGTAAGATTAGTTAGTATTTAAAAATTATGATTAATCATTTTTTTAATATTTTTAGAACTTTGATCAGAATTTACAAATAAATACTTTGAAAAGTATCATTCATTTTATCATCACATTTTACAAAACAGTAGTAATGCAAATTATAAAAGACAAATATATGAATCCTTGAAACACACTAATTTTTTTTTTTTTAAATACCTTCAAGTTGTTTAATTTTATCTTCAAGCAACAAACGTGATCTTTCATATTGAACTACTGTATCAGCTTCTGATGATAAATCATTGATCATTGCAAGACATTTAGCATGTTCTGCAGTTAATACTTGCAAACTCTGTTGACCATCAACAACTATATTTTCTAAACTAAATAAGTTTATTAAAAAATTAATTTAAAATAAATTTTACATCCAATATTTATACAATTACCTTATTAGATTTTGAGCAACAAATTTATGGAGAAGATTTATAACAGAAGAATGAGGAATGTAAGTAGATTTTTTTTTTGATAAAGCAACAACTAATTGATTAGATGTCACTGGAAGATTCAAAGAAACATCAATAAGAGCTTCTAGTAATACTCTCTCACCTCCAACTTGATTCCAATCAAAATTTGATTCAGTTTCATAACTATTTTCACTAGTTACATGAGATTCTCCTTAAAAAATATGCATGATAAAATTAGATATACAAATGATGAAATAAAAAAACTCACTAGAAATAATAAGATCAGTAGATTCATTGAGAATAACCTGACGTTCAATTTTTCTTTTTTTTAGTTTCTCTCGCAAAGAATTTCTTTTACTCTTAACTGCTTGGATTTCTTGCCAAGCATCAGACATTTTTAAAAATGTCTATACATTTATTTAATCTAATTCAATAACTTACAACATTTATTATTCAGTCATATTAACACGGAAATTAATACAAAAATTCATTAATAACAATTATTGTTATTTAAATTTAACATTACAGTAAATGTTAAATAATTAAATACATTAAATTATTTAAATTCCACATGTGTTCTATGAAATATAGAATCCAGTAAAAAACAATGTTTAGATTGAAAACAAATCTACTGCGATTACTATTTTCAAAATCATTTTTTCTTAAAATATTTTAATAATTTGATAATGAGGAAACTATAGACTATTGTTAATAAACCAAAAGGTAATTTTATAAAAATTGTATCGGTTTATGAAAAAAAAAATTTTTATTTTATTTATTAAATATTGATAAAATACATGATATCAACAACCCATATATATATTTATATATAATATTAGATAATAACCAAGGCTGAAAAATCTACTCTGATGATAATAATTATACTACAGGTCATCTTTATAAACGACATTTATATGTGGTATTACAAGTTTGCACGAAATGATAATGCTCCAACATTGTTAAAATTACTTCAAATATATTTACTCTAGTTATATTTATATTGAATACATGCTTTGGAAAATTTAAATTAACCAGAGGTGTTTTCAAGAGTATACGACAAATACCCATTTATCGTTTTGGAAATTTTCATATGCCCTAAAATCATTACTGTATAATGTCTTGATATAAATGTGCTTAAAGAAATTTTTTGAAGGATATGACTATTTTAACTTTTAACTCTATAGGGGCGTACTTAATTTTTTTTTAGGGGAGTTTCAGACGTAAATTTAAATATGACCTTCAAATTTACAATTATTATAAAACTTAGAGTTCTAGTAAAAAGATGTGATTAGAAAGTCAACATTTTTTTCTGCATTTTAAAATTGCAATATATTAAAATATAGCATAAATATTCAGATTTTTATAAAATTACTTAAACAATATACTAGAGACAATAAGATTTCTTTTGATATGCTATTCATGATTATCTAATTGAAAACTTAAGTAGAAGTTCTAATGAAACCACTTACCCATGTTAAATTTTTCTCTATATCAATTTTTGATAATCTGTAACATCTGGATTATTTTAACCTACACCAAATTAAAGTTTATAAGTGAACTATAATATTAAAAAAAAGTGCCTACAAATTTTATATTGGAAGAAATCGGCCGACGACAAAGCAAAAAAATACATTATCTAAGTTAAAAAAATATATATTTCGTTAGTAAATTTTGTAGATTTTTCAAAATGTTTTGTACCTTTAAAACTATATCAAATAAATATTTAAATCTTGTATAAATCGTTATTTTCAAACAAAAATTTAACAGAATGCCACCGAAACGTTTTTTGATAAAAATATTAATCGATGACAGATATCTATACTTGTCCCAACTATGCCACTGTACTAGATTTTTATAATTGCATAGATTTATGTAATGAATATTACTAGGTAAAATTTTGTTTGCTTTTAATAAAATTTTATACAAATCCATGTAACTAATGGTATTTATTTAAGTGTTATTTTGTGTTAATCTTAATACCAAATAACCAATAAAAATATTTATGCTAAGTGTAATATTTAGTAATTTGTAATTTTGTAAAATATTATTTTCGAGTGTAGCTCTAATTTTTAAGGTAATTAGGCTTAGAATTTCCGTTTTTTTGATATTTGTATAAAAATATGGTAAAACAATGTGGGCGAGATACAAATGTTTCATAAATTAAGTTTATTTATATTTATATTTTATCATTATTTCTTTTAATGTATGTTTAAAAGTATTGCACGCATTGTTGATAAATAGTAGCTTAAATTTATGAGCAGTTATTAATAACAAAGGCATGAAACTTGTGTAGTTTTCAAGAGCCTAAATCTAATGACAGTAAAGGAAATCAAATTATTGAATCCTATACACATAATAATATCAACACACCATAAAATTATAATAACATATTAAATTTATTTGATCCAATTTTTAAATAGTTTGACAAAAGATAAATAATTTTTGATAACTAATATGAATTCAGTAATAATTTAAAGTTAAGTAAAACACAAAAAACTTTTTTACTCCAGTTGAAAGGTATATTTAAATTTCTTCTCCTTATTAGATATTGTGAATTTTATTTTCGAGTATTCAGTAAATATTTTCAATAATTAATGAGTTATTTTATAAAAAATACTTTTCAAAATATCTTATAGGCTTCAAAAAAATTCATAATATAATAATCATAATATTGTTTGTTTAATTAGATGACAACATTCAAATAATTTAACTTTATATACATACAAAATATAAATGAAAAAGTTTTAAAATTAAAATAAATGGAAAATAACCTAAGAAAAAATTATACAATATTTACAATTTTGTACACAAAAATATAAACATTAATTTTTGAGTCCTTGATAAAGTTTCTCATTTTCTTTTCTCTGTTCTATGCGTGTAAAAAATAAGTTAAGAAAATTATTTGTAGAAAAGTTATTAAGTACTTATTAAAATTCTCATTTATAATAGATAGATTTTTAAAATGTGTCAAAAAGGATATCTTTTTGAATGTCGAGATTCACGTTCAGTCCACTCTTTTAAATGAGGAGATTTTTCCTAAAAAAATATATATATATATATTTATATATAACATAAATACATGCATTTTATAGTAAAAAATTTAATATTTTAGAAAATCTACTTACACGGCTTGATCTATGTTTATCATTTGCTATGTCTTCATGACGAATATCAACAGATTTTATATCTTGAATAAAACAAAATGTAAAAATTTTATTTATTAAGAATATATTCAAGTGATAAATACATACGTTTATCATCTTCCTTGCGTCTTTTCAATTCTGGGGTTAATTCTTCCCTTCTTTCAATCTGCAAAATAAATAATTATTTACAATAATTTTTACTATTTTAATTTTGTTCATCTTACCCGTTTCCTACTTATTTTGCGTTCTTTTCGAGTTTCTTTTGACACTGAGGAATCAGAAGATTGAGATTTTTTAAGTTTCTTTTCTTTTTTCTCAGTAAGTGATGATCCATTTGTTTCTGATTTCATGTCGGAGTTATATTTTGCAGTTTGCTGTAGAGTTAAAATTACACACAAAATACAAATAAAAAACCAGTTTGTATATGATACACAAATATTACTTAACATTATGAAAGATAAAATTATCAGCTACTTGATTCATTTTATTTGTTTTAATAAATGTATTATTTTGTAGAACTTCATTGAATAATGAAAATAACCAAAGTGTATTTTTTTTGGAATGGAGATATAAACAACTTTTACACTAACACAAACAAGGATATAAATAAAAATTAAAAAACCAGCATCTGCTCTTCAATTCTCGCAGAAGAAGGTGTTCAGCTACAACAGCAATCATTGTTCCTATCATTTTGCAACAGATCCATATCAACAAATGGAAAATGTCATTAATTGTAGAACTATGTAGTACAAATTATTGAGGGAACATCATTTCAGGAGACACACACCACAAACATAAAACTGGTCGAGCACTTAGGTTGAGAGATGAGACTACTCAATATTTTGAATTTTTGTGAATAACAACAGGAGGAATGTAATTGTGATAATTTTTTGATATGAAGGCTCCAGCTTCAATTCTTACCTTCGTAACTGGACTGGTGTCAATTCGTTTTCGTTTGATATCTAAAAAAAAAAACAGTTTAAATACGAAATAAGTAATGCTTATGATTCAATATGAAATTTGGTAAAATATTTCCTTACCTTTGTCAGCCCCAGCGTATACACCATTATTTGTTGAATCTATGTCATTGATAGAAGGCTTCTCTCCTGATATAATTTGAGAATGTACTTTGTTACTATGATTGACAGCTGGACCACTACTAATTGAATCTTTAGATAAGTTATTTTTGGAAAGTTCAAACTACAAATTTATAATTAAAACAATTATTTAAAAATAAATGTATATAATTTTAAAAAGTTAAGTGATAAAAATGTTTTAATATAACATACGAAAGAATCATTTTCTTTATCAAAATTCTCATCTCTAGATCGTTTTTCTTTCTTTTTTTCATTATGATCATCAATTTGCTCGGACTCTTTTTCAAGTTCCACATTATTTTCATGATTTTTTTCACTGAACAATTGTAATTTTTTTAATTTGAATTCAATTTTCAGGATATTGTGACTTACTTAGATAGTATTGATGTAACTTTTGCTGATCGCTTATCTGTTTTAATTTTGTTATCAATAACTTTCTTTTCTGCTTCTACCCATTCTATAATTTTTAGTTTTAATCAAATATAAATTAATGAAATAATAAAATATTTTTAAATAATTTACCTGTTGTTGTTGTTCCATTAAGAACTTTAGAGGGTAATGGTGGGGGAGTTTTTGCTTCTGGACTTCTTTCATTTTCTTTTTTTTTTAATACCTGAGCATTCTTTGTGACATCAGATTTAATATCATTAGCATTAATTGTCTGACTTACCTATGTATTTAAAATGTGCATAAGATCACTAATGAAAATTATAAACTTAAAAATAAAAATTGAATGGTAACATGACAAAAAAATTTTTTTTGGCTCATTTTTAACAATAATAACTTATTTATTTTAATTGAATGAAATATTACTTCAAAGATAATTCAATTTTTTTTTACCTTTTCATTGACTTGATGAAAGTCTGAATCTTTAAGAAACTGATTAGCTCTACCTTTGAGTAGTCCACAATATGATGTAGCTAATGTATACAAATCTTGTCGTTTATCTTTCTCATCTTCTCTTACTTTTTCAACTTTTTTATCAATTAATGTGGCTAATTTAGCTAATACTGGAAAATGATTAACTATTTTAATTAAAATAATCAATGAATTGCGAATTTGTACATAATCTTTGGATTCCAAACAAACCATCATTGCCTTTAAGAAAAGTACAAAATATATATTATTAGTATACAACAAGTTGATAATAATAAAAAAACATCACTAATATTATGATTACTTTAGTTATTTTATAATGCCACTTATGACAAACATGTCTGAAATTTTCATATCCAACATGGTCATTACTAGACTGTACAAACTGATCACTATTTTTACATTTAGTTACAAATCCAGGATAGGTAGCACATTCTTTTTCAAAAACTTCTTGAGTTGAATGCCAACGAGTTACATTTTTTAACATTTCATTTAAAAAAATACCATATCGGTGTGCTTCGTTTTCAGTGCAAAGTGTTACTGAATAAGTAATATCACAGAAAAGCTGGAAAGTTTAAAAATAATTCCTTTACTACAAAAATGTTATATTATATATAGTTGATTTTCATCTTTACCCTATCGTAACAAAGTAAAGTCGAAAAATTTGCAGTTTTCAGAGAATGTAATGTTTGAACAAACTTTGCACAGTACATAGCGTCAGTGTGTGTAAAAATACAACGTGGAAATAAACATAATTGTAAAAATTGAGTTATTGTCTCATTTTTAGCTGCTTTTGCAGAACGAGATAAAAACCATGTGTCCTTTTCCTGTATAACAATAATTATTTATATTATCATTCAATAAAAAATTTAAAAAAAAATACTTGGTTTAACATATAATTAATTTTTTCAACATGTTCTTGTTGTTTTTTTTTCTCATCATTTAACTTTGCAATTGTTGTAGATAACCTATCTTGTTCTTTCTTCACTTTAGTACTCTAAAATTATATATAAAAAAAGTATGATATATTACATTAAGAGCTGTTTATTAATTCTCTATTATACATACTGTTTGTTTAGAGTCTCCGAGTGCATTAGATTGAGTCTTAAGTTTGTTGATTTCCCTTTTATAGGCTTCATTAGGAACACTAAGATCATACAGTGTCAATGACCAAAATGTTACCAAAAACCCAGGAGATACATCTTCCCAAACTTTTTCAGGGTGTAAAGGAACTACAGAATTTACAATAGAAGACATAACTTCTTTGTATGCTTCAGCATAATATGTTTGACGAGCAGGTAACGACTTCTTAGAATTAGGATCTGCTTTACGTAATACATCAAAACGGGTCTAAACAAAATTAAAATTATCACAATTGTCACTTTTTTTTTTTTTTAATAAATTTAAAAGCAGGTACTACATTGATGAAATGATTAAACATAGGCCTGGCAAGGAAAAATGCTACATCCATGTGAACATGGTGTTGATCTAGAAGATCATGAACAGATGGTAAGTGATTTATGTACTCCTCCATAGAAAATGTAGACCCCAAAAATGTGCCATATTGAACCAATGTATCTTGACACTGAAAAAACACAATAAAATGATAAGTAATAGCAAACAAAATACTTTTAAGCAATTTAAATTTGCATTTACTTGATCATAAAGTTGACCAGCAAGTTTTATATGCATTGATTCATGCTCTTTATATATAACACTATGTCGTTGCTGAGCAATTAATAAACACAATGCTACTGCTAAATTATTGTCTAACAATGACTCTTTTAATCGTACAGAAGATTTTTTAGTGTTTCTAATTTGATTATAATATCCTGCCTAAATTAAAAAAAAATTCAAATAATTAATTTTTTTTTTGTTAATACTTTTAAACTAACTTACTTCAATTTTTAAATAATCTCCACCTGACATAGCTTCGATTTGATCAGGAGTTATTTGTTCCATGAGTTCTATGCCAGCCATTCTTAAGACTATTTCTTTAAGAATAAGTAAATCCAAACTAAAAATTATAAATAATAATACACATATATACATAAATATTTAGGAAATAGTTTTCCTTGATTTGATTATCTTTAAAAAAATAATCAAATATGCCTAAATTCTAGAAAATGTAAAAACTTCATCAATATTTAAGTATTTTTCAGCTAAAAGTTATTTAAAATACATATTCCTATGTATATTATAATTACACTAATCATTTAAATATGTTAATATATAAAAGGCAATACGTTTTCTTAATGTAATTAAAATACATTAGCATATTTATACATATATGTGTATAAAGGATTGTTTAACTAAGCAGAAATCAACATTCTTTTAAAATTGTGTAAGAACAAATAAAATAACTTCTTATATTATTTTATAATTAAATACTGGTTTCTTTTTTTTTTATCTTATCTTTTAATATTGCGAGTGTGAAATGTCATCAGTTTAGTATATGTACTTCACTTAAAACAGTTATATTTTGGTTTCAACAATTATAGTTGAAATACTACACAAAAGTAAGGAAAAAATACATCCATAAAATGTTACAAATAATTGTTTGTTTATATATAGATAAAAAGAAGATTGTAAGAAGGTACACCATTTCAAACAAAAAAAAAAATTTCAGGTCTTCAAAACTTAAGCATACCCTAATTCAAAATACTATTTACGCTTATGTTGTTCATTATTAACTGATAAAAATAAACACATTCATTATTCACCTCCAACCATTTCCTTTAGATAAAATAAACTTAAATAAGCTAACTAAATCAAATCAAATTAATTAATTTCATGTCAAATATTTAACAGCATTACTTTTAAGGTATTTTATTATAAATTATTTAATTATTTTTTTATATACTATATAAAACGCCATGAATTAAAAAAATTATTAAAACAATACTCTTATTTGTAAATATGCACATAACTATCATTTACACTTTTAATAAAATTCTAAAATCAATGTCAGCTTAGCTCTTATTTGGACCCCTAGAATATAAATTCCAGTGGGCCCCCCTACAATACTTAAGAATTACAGGGAGAGAGGAATTCCTCATGATTTTTAAAAAAGTGACCTATGGGCGACTTCTCTACATCCTGGGATAAGGAAGGGGGCTGGTAGCTTATAGACTATGGACCCCCAATAGTGATATATATCTAGAAGCCTCAGGTTCTTCAACTAGTAAGAGACCAGAGTGACACTGTCTAACATTGTTTTTTATTTATTTATTATAAGTCTCGCATAAAGTCAAAGTTAGTAGATTAATTTTAGTTGAATAGCATTATTACCTATTTTCAGTCTTTAATTGATTTGCTACATATTGTAAGATTCCAGTAAGTTCTATAGAATGTTTTTTGAAAACAGCACCACAAAATGAGGCAGTACTTTGAAGCCAAACAGATATAGAAGTTCCATCGTGTTTTACTCTATCTTGACCACTTTTACCCAAAGTTTCAACAATACAATATCCAAGAACATCAAAAGATAAACTAGTCATATATTTTAAACATTCAACCACAATACTTCCTAAATTGTCAAACACTTGTATTTGTCCTAATATCTAAAAATTATATACATATAAATAATTCAATAAAAATAAAAATTTATATACAGAATTACTTTTTTATCATAATCCACTCAATTACTCTCAGAATAAAAATAATTTAAACATTTTTACTTTGGTTACCTTTAGTTATTTATTATTCTTGAATTATTAGCTATGCATTACTTTTTAAGTTCATCTCTTATGCTTTGTAAGTATGTCAACTTTGTTTTTTTCAAATGAGAACACATATTTTGAATTTAATAAAATATTTGAAGTTTTATTCTAATAGTATGTGGCATTTCAATTTTTAATATAATATTATCCTTTTATTAAAAATAAAACTTTAAAGTTTCAAATTTTTGAGCTAATATGCATTTATAATATAAGAGGGATTACAAATACAGATAGCTAATTGACTTTTTATGACTCCATAATCATAGATGTGGAGTGTTTATCGTCAATTATGACTATAAACCAATGTTTTCTGTATCACAACAATGTGCTTTATAAGACTAACCATATTTTTTTTTAACATGACTGGCATTATTGTGGACTGTTCTGGAACTGCCAATAGACATTATTTCAAGGCAGCCCACACCATCTATAACTCACATCACCTTATTGTAAATCAGCCCAAAATTAATCAAGAGGTTATTCACATTGTGGTGTGGTCTCATCCCTTAGCCAGATCCCAGAGTGGGATCCATTTGGGAGAGTTGGCAAAAATAGAAAACGAATAGCTATTAAAAATTATTAATAATTTTAAATAATGACTAGAGGTAAAAAGTGGGTGGTTGCTATATTTATCAATATATATTTTGCAGGCTCACTCCTCTTACCTAGGTAAAAAAATATTAATAACTTCTGAGATATTAGTTCAAAAGTTTTTATCGACCAGTCTTTTTCTAAATTACATTATTTATATTTAAAAAAAAAGTTGATACCAACATAGCACATAAGAGAATAATCAAAAAAATACTTTTAAGTAGATTTTTCAAGAATTATATGTAAATTAAAAATAGAAAAAAAATTCTCAAAATTATTATTTTATAAGTAATAAAGTGGTTTGTAATTGACAGATCACCCTCTGTAAATATATCTATTAACATTACATAATCAAATAAATATCCTGGAGCATAATGGGATATTTTCCCAATAACTCGACTAGACGGCTTTGTATTATCTTTACAAAGGCGCTTCATGACAGACTTAGCTTTTTTTTGAACTTCAACTTTTTTTATCAATAACTTAGGGTGATATTTATGTGTATCATTTTTCCAACTGTTATATAAGGCGTATCTAAAATTAATTCAATTTTTAAATGAAATCATTGCATGATAAATTTTTAATCATAAGCACTGCATGTGTATATACCTGCAGTGGTAAGGATATAATTGCAATAAAGTCCACAAATGTTCAGAAATACTACTTCCTTCAACCAATGACAAAGCTGGTAATAAAACACGATCTAGTAAAGACAATGTATCAAAATAATAACCATTTTTAGAAGGTATGTAATCTTTATTTCTAATTCCTTCCTATAAAAGAAAAAATTATAATTTCTTGATTAATAAATCAATAATATTCATTTAAATAATGTTTGTAACTTTGATAGCTAAATAGTAAATCTGATAAAAAGTGTAAAAATATTATATATAAATTTTACTTCAATTACATTTATTAAAGCTTCTCTAACAATCCTCACAATTTTAAACATTAAAACAGTGTTACGATGTAATCCAGGACCTAAAGTTATCAGCATTGGCATAACAATACTATGAAATTCTTGAAACGTTGATACAGGTTTTACAGAAAAAGAATTATCAGAGAGCTTCAAAGTTTTTCTTGTAAATTTTGAATGAAGATTAAAAACTCTAAAAACAAAATTAAAATTTTAATTTAGAATAATATTTATAAAAATATAGAAATTATTACTCTAATCATCTATTACCAACATTAATTTTTCTATTCAATCATTAATACTGCTTTACCAGTAATAACTACAGAAAAAACAAAAACCCAGACAAATTTAAAATGGTTTGAAATTTAAAAAGTTATGAAATTTGTCTTTTTCATATTAAAGCTTAATTAAATACTGACACTTATATATATAAGTGTCAGTATTTCCGGAAAACATTCAAAAATGAAGTTGAAAAAGTTCTTTTTTCTATATGCATTTTTTTATGCATGAATTGCCCCTGTATAAAGGGTAATGATCCGATTTAAAAAAATGTATGTGGTATAAAAGAAGAATATAAATAGTACTTATCTTAAAAAAATTATAATGATCTATACATTTTTCAAAAAGTTATAGTATTTTAAAGTTAAAAATGTAAAATATAAAATCAAGAATTTTAACACAAGAATAGTACACGGTAGCCATTTTCACTATGAAGACAAAATAAAGTCCAAATTTTTTTTTTCCATAATAAAGTATATTACATAAGCTTTAATTTAAAGTATATATAAAAGTGTCAGTATTTCCAAAACACTTTCAAAAGTTATGTTAAGAAAGCTAATTTTTTGTGAAAAAGTTGCCATTTTCAATCCTTCCCTGTGGGCAGGTAAAGGGTCAGATTTATAAAAAAATATATAGGGTGTTCAGTAAGTCAGGAAACGGGTTTCTGACTTACTGAACACCCTGTATATAAAATGATAGGTAAAGACATCATGCATCTATAATAAAAAATATATATTGATTTAATCATTTTTGAAAAAGTTATGGCAATTTTAAGTAAATTTTTTTTTAAAAATTAGCGATTTTTTAATTTTTAATTTTTTTGTAGATTTCCCCCATTTATGGGGAACAAGGTGAAATTTTTCAATTTTTGAGAGCAATGTCTTTGACTAGATACGATTTGTGATCTTTTGACATATCGTTGAAAGAAATAAGTTTTGTGAGAGCTAAGAAAAAATGGTAACAAACACACACACACACAAAAAAAATAATAATAATAAAAAAAAAACATATAGTAAAATTAATACCTTCTCAGCTTCGCATTGAAGTTAAAAAAAATTCCAAATAAAAAACTAGTTAACTAGTGATAGACATTTCAAAAAGTGACTGAAAGTAAAATAGGTCTACTTTTAGTCTAGTATATATAGAATAATTAAACATTTTATAAAAGGGCCAACGTCACATTTCGTTAGTTTTTCAGAAAAATGCAAAAAACAAAATATTTAAAACTATTGTTATAAGCCTTACATATTATGTAAGATCTTACATAAAATGTTCAAAAAACATTAAAAAATTCTAAAACTGCCTTATAAAAATGCTCTAAAAATTTTTAAGTGACATGTAAAATACTATCATATACTATATTAAATTACCTTAAAATAAACTATTAAAATAACTTAAAACCCAAACATTACACAAGTATTAATATTTAATGTATACATAAATTTTGATTTTATATTAAAAAAATTATTGATATTCAAAAATTTTTTTAATTTTTAAATATACTGTATTTTAAACACAATATTTTGATTAGTTAAGTTAATTCAAACTTAACTTCTTTCCTTTTTAAAAATATTTCTATATAGAAGTACAGTTATATTTAATAATTTTTGGGAGCTGATATCTCCTAGATCCCCATTTTGCACCAATGAATATTGGCATGACCCAACCAATAAAGGTAAAATTACTTATGCAAATTACAATGATATATCCACAAATGTAGAAAAATACAAAAAAAACTTTAGTATTTTCTCATATAAAATGTTTAATTACTCCCAAGAATTAATGTTTTTTTGTATTTATTATATTTACTTTTAGAAAAGTACTATATCAACATTTTTGACAAACTAAGACTAATTTAATAATAGATAGAAATTAAAACATAATTAGACTCACTCTGCATAAATAGGTTTTATTATTTGACTTATTAGGTTACATAAAGCATCTCCAATGGCAGGATGATCTACTGCATAATATTCAGGAAACCGTTTTAATAATATTTGAGCTGTATTCCAATCTCCAACTTCAAGCATAGCTTCACATAACAAAAACTTTTGATTTTCTTCAAACTTTAAAGAAATAATTGTAAGTTTTAAAATTTTAAATTATAACTAATATACATTACTTTTACTAAATCATTATCATCAGCTACTTCAGATTCAGGAGCTTTTGACAAAAACATACATGAAATCTTTTTAACATAATCTTGTCCATTTTTCATTTCTTTTTCCCAATTTTTTTGGATAACCTTGTCATCTGGAGTTAACTAAAATATGATGAATTAGAATAATACAAATATCTTTGCCAAATTTTAATGATTAATTTTACCCAAGGATATATATTTTCTAATTCTATTAAATTATATTGAATAAGTAAAGCAATCAGTCTATAGGATGAATGATTCATATCATTGACTTGACGTAACTTAAAAACTAACACTTCAGTAAGTCTCTGCGATTCAGGCATATAATCTCGTAACAAAGGTATAAAAAAATGTTCAGCTTTATTATCAGTATGATGTTCAAATGAATCTAAGATAATGTCTAAAACCCGATTTGGATCTAAATTGAAACATCCAATTAATGATTTAATAATTTCCAACATAACTTTTGGATCCATATTATCAGAGTTTAATTCAGTAACTAATTTTGAAAAGCCTTCAGATTCTTCGCGAAATAGATTATATTTTCGCTGTTTATAACTAAAAATATCATTATTATATTAATATGGTTATTTAAATAATTAGAATTTGAAACTTACAAAAGTTTAGTTTTAATTTTAATAAACTTTGTAGAAAAGACATTATTTAATAACTTTATGTCTTTTAATGATTCAATTTCTAAGCGCTCCTTTAATAGTTTATCTGTAAATAACTAAAGAATTATTTTTATTAATATAGATACTATAAAAAATCCTCAAATATATAAACCTTTTGAGAATCTCTGACAATGCTACTAAAATTCTCTCTTTCTGATCCTAAGTTTTCAGACAGAACTGTTTCAGTATCCAAAAAATTAAAAATATCCATTATAACAGATGCAATTTCTTTATTTGAACACTAAAAAATTTAAAAACAAATTGTATTCTTAGAAAGGGTAATTCTTATAACTATTGAGTAAAAATTTGCAATAAAAAATTAGATTTATGAGCTAAAATAATTATCTCAATAATTATTATTTAAAAAAACAAATAAGAAAATGTTTAACAAAAAAAGATATGAGTCATAAGCAAAAGACGACAGATTCTTAACTTACCAACTCATCTAAAATAGAAACTCCAAGGTTGATTTTTAATTTTCCTTTAATACATGCTATTAATAATGAAAGTATCCCTTTGGCCAAATCTAAAAATTGAAATATTCTTTAATTTAATTTAATTTAATTTCAATAATGCTATTTAACTTGCCTGTGGGGTTTCCATTATTAGTAATTGTCAAAGAATAATCAGTCTTCGAGTTACTGATAAATTCGTGACATTTAGCTAAACTAAAAATTCGTAAATTGCATAATTAATTAATTTGATTAAACTTGCGATTGTTAAGAAAAAATATCGAAAAACTTACAATACGGCTTTTTCATTAGCTCCCCAATTTTCGTAGTTTAATTTATCCATTTTTTACGTGTAATTAAATAAAATTTTCACTAGGAAACACTATTAATTTTGAGAACGATTGTTACTTGCTAATGGATAAAATGAATTAACACATACATAATGACAATTACTTTATAATAATAATAGATAGAAAATAGATAAATTATAGGCTATTTAATTTTTATAAAATAATTAATAAAACATCAATTTTTGAGTTAAGAATATCTGTATATTTCGCAATTATTTAGATAAAGCAAGCGTTAACCAACATCATGAACTTGGAGGAAACAAACCCCTTCTTCAAAATACAGCATAAAAGGAACAACACTGCTGCCATGGCGGCAAAGGGTATCTACGGTTTTAGTTTAATACTGCGGTTAATAAGTAAAATGATAACTCGAGCAAAGAGGATGTAAAAAAAAATCACAAAACGCTAAATCAGTAATTAATATTGATTATCTTTTCAAATTCAATAATTATAATCTACTTGATAATGACCTCTAATGTTGTGTTCCCAACTGTTGTACATTTTATTCTGCGAATGAAATAGTATGTAAGTATTAATTGAATACTTTTTATTTATTTAGCTACAGGCTTTTCCAAATTATAAGAATTATTTAAATAATAACAATTAATTTAACCACTTAAGAGACATTAATTAAAATTTTTCTTTTTAATTAGATTTTTTTTATTTGACTGGAAAAATATCTTACGATTAATATTTGCTTTTAGGAAATGGAAAATGACGATTCAGTTGGTCCACCCGATCCTATATCAAATTTAAGACCAATTAAGTTTTATATACCAAAAAATGAATCATCAATTGAACGTAAACTACGACTTAAACGAATTGAAGTAGCAAAATGGAACAATGATTTTTGGACAAATCATAATCAAACATTTGTTAAAGAAAGGGAAGCTTATAAAGAAAAATTAGCAAGAAAGGGTATATCTAGTGCTTCAGCTGACCAAATGTCTGAATTTTACAAAGAATTTTTGGATAAAAATTGGAAAACCCATGTTACGTACAATTTTGAATGGTATAAACAAAATATTTCTATAGTAAAACTAATGCTAAACAAAAATGTATTTAAAGCATTACAATGGGCAAGGAAGCTTAAATTATAAGCAATTAAATTTAAATTAAAATGATTTTTTTTAAAAACTGTGTAAGTGCCAAATAAAAAATTTGTATCATTCATTCATGGTTTTATTTTTTTTATTTGTAATTTTTTTAGGTATTTTATCGCAATCCTGTTCTTATATATGTTGTTTTCATCATAATGTTGTACAATATATATCTAACAGTTTATCTTTTAAATTTAATCTCAAATTATAAGCAAACTTGTGTCACTGAAGATAATTCTAATATTTCTTACTTTCATTTTTCATTATCTAATGGTAAGTGGGATAGTAGACGATTGTTAAAAACATTTGATAATGTGTTATTAGCAGAAAAAGAAACAAATGGAATGGTCTGTTTAGCCACACAGTGTTCATTAGATAGATTATTTTCTATCGTGGAGTTAGTTGAAAATTGGAATGGTCCCATATCAGCTGCAGTATATGCAGCTGGCGAGGAACTATATTTTGTACAAGGTATGCAATCATTATTATAAATGTATTCTTTTAATTTATAAATTATAATTTAGATTATATCAAATTCCTACGGCGTTGTTATACAACAATTCGCAATTCAGTGACATTTCATCTTGCTGTACCAGCTAATCGATTTCCAGAATCTCCATCATCAAGTCATTTTACTGATAATTTATTATGTAATCAAGATCCAAAAAAAGTTTTGTTAAGTCTATTGAAACAACTTCCTAAAAACTTAAAGCGATGGAGAACTCGCATGCCTTATCCACAAAATCATTTGAGGAATCTAGCTAGATTTAATTGTCAAGCATATTATTCATTGGTTACAGATATTGATATTATACCCAGTTACAATTCTGCTGAAGTTCTCAATGACTTTCTTTCAACACTTCCTAAATGCTTAAAATGTGTATATGTTCTACCTACATATGAAATCCACCAATTGGCTCCTTCTCCAAAAAGTTTTTTACAATTAATGACATTAAAAAATACTGGACAAGCAAAATATTTTCATGAGGATATTTTTAAATTAAACCAGCTGCCAACAAATTTTGATTTGTATGTTATATAAATAAATACCTTAAGTTTATTATAAGTAATAAAAACTGATTAGTTTTGAACTGTTTACAACTTATTTTAGGTTAAACTTTTTATTAAGTAATATACAACCAATTTGATAAACAGTGGCACAGCTGTTCCATAGATACAGCTTTAAAAGCTAAGCCCTATGAGCTAACTCAATATTTTAGGGAAAAAATCACCTAAAAAGTTAAAAAAAATTATAATTTTACTTTTTAACTCTAACCAATTTTTCATAAATTCTGCACACGCCTCCGATCAATAACAAGTTTAGCAAAACTATTAACTGTATTTAACATATATTAAAAGAAATACATTTTATCTTCTGCAACACCTTATAAATGTATAATTACTGTTTATTTTTAAGTAACTGTACAGGCCATTGACTTGCATTTTATTACATTTCTATAGATATGAAAATATGTCTTTGAAGAACTCTGATGTTCATATTAGCCATCAAATACCAAAATATCAGTTATTTTATGAACCATTTTACATCTCACTTAATAATGTTCCAAGTTATGATGAAAGATTTATTGGCTATGGATTCACCAGAAATTCTCAAGTTAGTTTTTTTTTTTTGTTAATGGTATTTTTAGTACATTATATTGTTCTATTCTTCCAGATATATGAAATGTTTGCAGCCAATTATCAGTTTGAAGTACTTGCTAACATTTTTACTTTTCAACATACTTATGCATCATTAGTGAAAAATTCTAATTATCGAGAAATTCAGTATGGTGAAAATTTTGCTCTATTCACAAAATTCAAACATGAAATTGCAGCTCGATATGCCTTATCACATATCTTATAATTAGTCATTTTTAATTATTTATAATTTAACACTGTTATATTGTTGAATAATATCCTTTTTTTTATTTTTGCAAAATTGTGTTTATAATTTCACTTTTGTAACATTAAAAATTGAAATAATAGTAAATATATATACAAATTAAACAGGATTTTAGTAGGTTTAAAATAATAATCAACCCTTAGAATAAAATACAACTTGCATAAAAATAAATATGAGATTTATTATGTTAACTTTAATAAGCTGATGGTCTTATTATTTTATTGGTATCTTAATTTCAGTATTGCACCAATATTAGATAAATAAGTAACATAAATTAATTACTTAAGTAAAGTTACAAGTAAAAAAATTTGCAATGATTCAAAATGTACGAGAAGTGTATAAAACAATAATAAAATAAAAACATATTTATACATAGTTTTTTTTTTATTTGAAAAAAATTGTATAAAACTCAGGTAACGTCTAAGTATTTATGTACAAATTCACGTAACTGGTTTGCCACTTGTATATATATATATATAATATAATAATAATTTTTATAATTAAAAAAAAATCTAGGAAAACAATAATTGTTCGCTTATAAGTAACACTACTAGACGCATATTACTTTTTATTGATATAAATATTTTAATATTTTTACTTAGTTTAATTCACTCTTAAAACAAATCATATATTTACATATTTATATAAATATATATACAAGAATAATTGAATTAGACCAATAATAAATATTACTTAAACTATATATCAAAACAAATTTGTAACAGTTTAAGTAGAAGAACACAATCAGTCTAGTTGTAAAAACTCATGTCAAATTTTAAGTACTGTAATGCATGTATTACTGGAAGACATGAAAGTCAATAGTCAAATCTCAAAGTTTGTTTCTTTTTTACTTAAAAAGATAGAGACTATTAGTCTCAAAACCTAATTATTAAAAAAATATACAAGATTTATGTACAAGATTGGCATTTAAAAAATAAATATTAAAAGCACATAAGTGTTGGTGATCTTTTCACAAACAATTCAATATAATATTTTAGTATTGAGATTGTGGTCAACTGGAATGACACAAATCAAATAATAACTGTGCAATTGTTCTTGATGATTCAACATTACTTAAAGCAATATTAGATAAATGAGCTTCATAACGTTTTATATGCCTAAAAGAAATACTTTTTATTATGAAATTTTAATCAAATATAAAAATTAATTATGCTTACCATCTTCCAGTTGAGGAATATATGACTAGGTTTCGTAAAATTAATGCTGAGGTCAGGCGAATGCTTTTTGTGACTGGACCTTCATTATCATCCTATAATAAAAATTTATATTATTTTTAAGTGTTTATAAATCGTTACTAAGTTTTTTTAAAAATGTAAACATACTACAAATCTAAAATATTACTAAAAATGTAACACAAAAAGCATAAAAAGTAATTAAAATTTAATGGCATCTAAATAATAATTATATTGAATTTTTATGCAACATCACTATCATTTTTTTCCTTCTAATTTTACAAAAAAATACATTTAAAAAGAAATACAAGATAAAATAAAACTTAAGTTTTAAATAAAATATTTTATTAAATAGCATGCAATAACATCAATTTTATCATCAATGACCAATTTTCCTTCACTAATATCATGATAATAATTACTCAATTTATTTAAAAAAATTTATTTATGTATGTATTTTTAATACATAAATAATTAATAGCTTATAAAATAAAATTTATGTGTATCTCAATGCAATGAATATTTATTTATAGATTTTTTTTTTTTTTAATTCCTACCCGTTTTCGGGTGTTAGATATTACTAGGGAAGGGAAGTGAAGTGGTTTCCCGTTGCTTTCTACACTTAGGACCTGGTGATTTTTGCCACCGTAAAACGCACATATGGTCACCCATCCGTACACTACGGAGGCAGGCGTGGCTTAACACTAGGGTTTTGTCAAAATCTAGTGTGTCCACTACGTCCTATTTATAGATTAGAATATCTATATAGAATATTTAAAAATATTCCTAATATAAGAGGTATTTTAGGGCTACTGTTCATAACACAATAATAAATAACAAATATAACTAATATATAGTATAAAATTATTGTCATTACATAACATATAGTCTGATTTAAATAGTTGACATAGTAATCTGAAAAGTAAAACACTTCCATGACTCTATGTTGGTAATTTTTTTTTTTATTCCTGTGTCTAAATATTTCAAAGTTAACATTCTATTAAAAATTAATCATAAATTGGGATTGTTCTGACAGATCCTTCAATTTTTGATACAATGTCTATTTTACAGCAATTTTTTTTTTAATTTTTAAGCTTAAGGACTACAATAATACAATAATATAAATTATATATTATTTTAAATTTGATTATAAAATTTTTATTTTAAAAATCAATTTTAAATAAATTCAAAACAAGTAAAAATTGAGTAATAACATTTCTCATTATTGTTTTAGTTTAATTTCTAGAGCATTATAAAGTTTGTAGAAATTGTAATTTTTACTTTTATTTTATGTTATATCACAATACCAATATTTGTTATAAAAATAAAATATAAGAGAATACAGTCTTTATACACTAAATATAAGTTATAGACACAATTTTTTTCGGCAAAAATTATCATTACTTGAACAAGTACCTTATTGAAATGAAAATGTACACAGTATTATTATTATCTTTCTAGTAATAAGATCTATTTAATATTACTTTATCATAAGTTAAAATAGTCTTCTTCTTTTTCGTCACCTTTATCCTTAACTTCCACTTGACACAATATACCATATCGTCTATGCACACATCAGTCATCCTCATATAGCACTCAATAACATTCCTCTATATGTTTATTGGTCTTCCTCTAACTCTTCTTCATTCAACATTCATTTCATTTCCACACCTCTAGCTTTATATTTGATAAATTTCCTCCCTATTTTCTCCTATTAACACTATATCATTAGCGAACAACATGCATCACGGTACATTTCCTTATATTTTTCTAGTAATTTCATTCATCACTATAGAAAATAAGTAAGGGATTAAAGCAGAACCTTGGTACATTCCTACTCTTACTCTATAATCTTCTGTTACTCCTCTGCCCACACTTTTTACACTGATACTAATAAGTTAAAATAAATAGTAGATATTGAAAAATTCTAAAATAAAAACAATATAAAAAGTTCATTCAATTAATTTTAAGTGTTTCACTAAAGTTAACTACTAAATTGCAATCAATAAATGAAAATCGTACTTAGATCTAAATAAAAAGTGATGTAACAATAGTATATTAACTAACAAGTCGTGCCAAGAATTGTATCTATAAGCAATATTTAGAGTGAAAATACTGTGTTTACTTATATCATTTTTTTAATAACAAATACTTATGTTTAGTATTGTGAAATGAACATGTAAAATAAGAGTAAAAATTTTAATTTTCACAAACTTTGATCTAAATGTTCTAAAATTATCTAAAAATTTAATTACAAACGAATAATAAGAAATGGTGCTACACAATTATTGCATAAAATCTGATCTTCAAAATGATAATCTAGATTTTTTTTAATAATTTCTTAAATTTTTTAATTAAATTTAAAAAATATATAAATTATAATATTATTATATTTCAAAAGCGTAGGAATTATTTAAAAATAAAAGTACTCCAAAATAGTCATTAAATCCTAAGTTATAGTAGAATTTGTTAAAACATCCAGGATGATCTTGTACATTTACATTAACTTATTTTATGATGTATTAAAGTTATTAAAACAACTCGTATTTTAACAAAAAAAACATAAAAAATAGTTATTATTTTATATATATTTAATACAATTTACATTTATTCTAAATATAAATAGATTATAATTGATTGTATAATAAAAATTGATCACTTTTGGCTAATTAATTAAGTAAAATTAAAACTATATTAAAAATATTATTAATTTAAAAAACTAAAAATATTAAACTCAAAGCCACAAAAAATTAATGAAAAGTCGCGGATACGTATTTCGGAAACAATGTCACCATTATCAACGCTAAACACATACTGACACCCCGACTAGAAAAAACTCCCTTATATACCCCTAGTGACCTTATCACATAGTGACGTCATCACTAAGTAATATTATCACATTTTCATTAATTTTTTGTGGCTTTGAGTTTAATATTTTTTAGTTTTTTAAATTAATAATATTTTTAATATAGTTTTAATTTTACTTATAATTGATTGTCTTATATTTTATTCAAATTGCAGTTTTCATATTATAAAAAAAGCAGTTTAAGGTATTGTTTAAATATATAACTACTTCAGGTTCTCAACATTTTTAAGTTGAATTATATAAAAAAAATTTTAAGAATTGCAAGCAATATTAATAAACAAATAAAAAAATACTCAAAACATGCATACCTAAGAAGAGTAATCATAAATACTTGAACAAAAATAATAACTACAAAAAAAATTGTTTACTGACACACAATTTAACACTCTATAAACAGTTCATTACCTGATCGACATTGCTAGCCGATTGATTGTTTCCTGCCGCACTAACTAGTCTTTGCTATTTTTAAGAATAAATTAATATAAATTAAAATATAAAAAAATTTGATATTTTATTAAATAACAGGAATAACATTTAATCCAAACATAAGTCGTTATTATTTCTTAGGTAAATATTTCAACATTTTAAATACAATAAACAAAGACTTATTTAATAATACCAAAATATATAAAAATTATAATTACCTGAAGTTCTTTGGGATTAACAAATTCTAATGCATGCCTTTTGATAGCATTGAATGCTGCATTAGGAGCATAACCTGGATGAGGAGTAGGTGGAGCAGGAGCTGGTATTTCACTACGACCACTTTGAGAAAGTTGCCGCCTACGAACTGCCATCATTCTTAATACCTTTGTATAAAAATAAATAAACAAAAAATAAAAATATTAAAATATTAAAATATACCTTACCATAATGAATATAAAAATACTCACATCAGGATTACAATGTCGATCATATAAATGTGTCATTAATGAAAACCGTTTTCGCTTCATAGAGTCACATCGTTCCCATAAACACTGCATTTCTTGTACTCCATTTGATGGACAATGGGATTCACAAGCATGCATGTAAACTTCATTGGCAGATTTAAAATTTCTCATGCACCCACGCCATTCACATAAAAATTGGCCTTGATTAGTAATGGTTTGAACTTCTCCTCCAGTTGCTTTAATTGGAGTAGTTGTTCTAATTTTTGTTTGAACATTAGGAGAAGGCATTGTAGCAGAAATTATATGAGGTACGGTTTTAATAACTTTTACTTGCTGTTGTTTAGTAGCCACAGATGTAACAGGGGTTACAGGTCTTGCTGCAACAGTAGTAACTTGTTGCTTAATAGAAGGAGGTGTTGGTATTCTTTGAACAATAACTTTTGATTGATTCATTTGTGGTGAGTTTTGAACAAAGTTGGCCTGGCTCAAAGTTACAGTATTTGGTGATTGACTGTTACTTCCAGGCTGCTGTTGAAGAATTATAATTGTTTTAGCTCCTGAACCTTGAGGTGTAGTTTGAGCAACCAACACAGTTTGTGCTTGACCCTGTACAAGTGCTGATTGTGGTTGAGCCAATACATATTGAGGACCACTAGCATTACCTTGATGTACCATTGTCACAATACCTCTTTGATTATTTGAAGTCCACTGAGCATTAGCAGACGAGACAATAATTTGACCAGGACTTTGAAAAATTTGTTGAGTTGTTACAGCTTGATTGACTTGAACTTGTTGAGATAGTACTGAAGGAGGTTTTACAGGCTCATCTTCCAAACCATCAATGTCTTCTAACACATCTGCTGCTAAAGCAGCATATAAATTAGCAGCAGTTGAAGAAGCTTTAACATTACTTTCATCAATTTCTATATTATCATCATCATTTCCACTACTATTACCATTAATATGTGGTTTTTTTGGTGCTTGATCACATGGAATTTCTTCTTCAGACGGTCTTTTAACACCAACAACTTTTGATAACTGTTGTCCATTCTCATCGGTTTGTTCTTGTTTAACTTTTGAACTACCCGTCAAAAATACTTCATCAGATGATCTTTTTTGGGTGCATTCTGCGCCATTTAATTCTAATCCATTTTCTCCTACTTGAATAGAGCCATAGAGAAATGGGGTATCCTTTTTTTCTATTTCCTTATCTAACAGCCCTGATAATGTTACACTTTTAGATGCAACATTATTGATTTCAGAAATTTCTGGTGTTCCATTTATTAGAAATTCTTTCTTGCTATCAACATAAACTGCATCATTTTTATCTATACATTAGGAAATTAAAAAACTTCAGTTAGTTAAAAATTTTAAATAATAATAAATAAATTCAACATACCTTCTGTAGATTTTTCTGTAATACTGTTAACAAAAACTTTATTATTTGATGCAATAGTAGTAATGACAGATGATTGATTATCAGATTTTGTAATAATGTTGCAGTCATTTTTTAGTACATCCTAAATTAAAATATAAAATAATTTTTTAATAATGATTAATGTATATCTATTTTAAAAGATCTCACTTTAAATAAAATAAAAAAGTTATCTTACTTCTACAGAAGAAACACGAATTCCATTTATTTTGGGAATTTGCTTAGGTACAACCGATGGTAAAGTAGGTGAAGTAACTGAGCTGGTTTGTTGTTGTAATATTTTCTGTTGTTGTTGTTGCCGTTGTGTTACCTATATATATTAAGTTAAATATTTTTGGCTTGAATATTAAACATTACTTTTTATATTTTAAAAATATATAATTTTAAAGGAAATTATTAAAAAAAGATTGATTTAATAAAATCTATCAAAAGGTATACAATTATACTAATACCTGATCATATATTAAAAGTTAGTAAAAAATTAAAAACATTTTAAGCTTCATAAATATTTAAAATAGAACTATTAACAATTGGACTGCTCTTTAATTGAAATTAGTTCTCTCAACATGACACATTTAAGAAGTACATTTTTACTAATAAAAGTATTTCCTATTAAAAAATAATAAACTATTTCTCTCAGTATTAACAATAAACAAATTATTTTTTTTTCATTAAAAAATAATATATGTTTTACCTACACAATTGTTTATGTAAGAGGGTAGCAAAGCGCAGTCCATTGGTTAATATTGTCTAAGTTCTAAATAAATCATTTTGTTAGAAAAATACAAAACCAGTTATATCAACTTATACTCTGATAATTAACTGTTATCATTTACTGTTAATATTACTTCTACTAATGTTATAAATGCTTTTAATTGGGTTAGTTTCACAACTGTAGGAAATAATCATGCCTACAAACCTTTAACCTTCACCTTCAGAACCATATAATGATAAAAATTGGAATTATTTAAATTATTTCACTGTTGAAAATATTTGCATAGTCCAAAATAAATTAAAATTTTACACTTAATACCTCGTTTCCCCATTTTTATATATTTTTTTTTTTATAACATCAATTAGATTATATTTTTAAATTTAAGTTATTACTGAATAATATATGCATACTAATTAACACTTACCTCTGTTATTACAGTACTTTTGCAGTTTTGGGAGGAAGCATACAACGTGCAAGACTCATTATTGCTAAGTTTAATTGTTGCAGAAGGTACAGTTGATTTAGGATCGCATACCTTGCTAGCTAATAATGTTTTTATTAAAGAAGTATTGCAATTTGATAACATGGTTCCATCTGATTGTGATACAGTTGATGATACTACTGTAGTGATAACAGGTATCTCAGTTCCCGTATTACTAGCTAGGTTAGAATTGTGCGCAGTCTGAAAATAAAATTAAAAGTATTTAAAAATATTTAAATACTTAAAATAATAAAACAAAATGTTTTTTCTCATCATATATTATTTTAGAAAATAAAATGGAAAACAAGTTTATCTGTATGACAATATAAGCTAAATATAATCATTTACTTTACATCTTTATATGAAATCATATTTTATCTTTTGTACTTTAACTTATTGACTAGTAACTTGTGTTATAAATGCAACTCACAGCATGAGCAATTAACTATATATAGTGTAAACCACCTTACAAAAGAATTATTTTTATGCTACACAGAAAAAAACTAATTTAAAATGACAAGTTATGCATACTTTATCTTTACGTACTATTTCATAAAATACATATTAGCTCAAACAATCAAACTTAACCAAAAATATTCTAAGTTTTTATTTTGTAGAAGTATAAAGTTTAATAAATGAATTTCAACAAATTATTATGATAAATAGACTAAATTTTTTCTCATCTACCAATAATTCAATTATATATTTTTTAATTTTAAAAATAATTTTGTTAAACTTTTATATTTTTTTTAACATGACAACAATTAGAAAATATTATACCTTTCCAAGGATTTCTCGTTTGATTAATGGTGTATTTTGTTGAGGGTTAGCAGCTGGTGCACTAAGCTGTGCTTTAAGGATAGGTGAGGTTGGAATAGATGGAGTTGTCACCACAGATGATGTTTGTGTTACAATCATTGTAGTACTACTGATTGTTAATGGCAATGGTTTAGCTCGAACCTGAATTCCTTCATAAGCAATAATTTGAGTAGGTGGATCCATTGCAATGCCACCATGACTTTGAGCCAATTTTACACTTTTAGGTCCAACAGAAGGTCCAAATACAGCTCTAAAATATATATAATTAGTAAAAAAAATAATGATGTTATTATTTTATACTTCTTACTTTACACAACGAGGAAAATGTAATGGTGCAATAACTCCTCTTCGACCAGCTCTTGCACAAGCTGTCATGTAAAGTTTATACAATTCAGCTTGATCTATACCTCTTCCTGGTGTAGGACAAACTTCAAGAGTAGCTCGGATCCAGTTTAAAGCAAATTGTTCGTTTTCTTGTTGAATCAAATTAGCTGGTTGTGAAATAGTTGTAGATGTTTGATTAGAAGTCACCAAAGTAGTACTAGTAGTTGTGATAGGTAATGAAGCTAAAACAAAAATGTTGATGTAAAGAAAGTTTTGATAAATCATCATAATATTCTATACCTGATACAATAATTTTAGGGCTTGAAACTGATTGTACAAGAGGTAATCCAGTTGGAGCCACTGATGTGAAAGTATTAAGAGATGATGACATGACTGGCACAGCACTAGGAGCATTTGGTAATATGACAGGATTAGCAACAGCTGGAGTTGGTAAAGGTAACACATTTTGCGATGAAAAAGTTGAAAGTAATTGTTGAGATGTAACTGAAGGAGGTGGTGCACTAGGAGCAGCCATTGCAGTAGTTTTAGTAGTTGGTTCTGGTATATATGTTGTTGATGTTGGAGCTGAGACAGTCTCAATAACTCTCATAAGTATACAAGCCTTTGGACCATATGCTTGTGCCTAAAACAAACAAAATATGTTAGTAAATTATGTAAATTTATAAATTATATCATTGAAACCTACCTCAACTGTAATTAAAGAAACTAGTGTATCGATCACACCATGCACATGAACAATTGCATTACAAGCACGTTCACCGAGGGAACTTAAAGAATATAAGCATTCTAATGTTTGTATTAACAGCATAATATCATGTAATGATAGCATATTGCAAATTTTATTATATACCTAAAAATAAAATTTGGATATTAATTAAACTTTTAAATGATATTATCTTTTTAACAATACTAACATTTTGATTTATATTTTTCAACAAAAATTCCTCGTTTGATTCTTTAGTACCCATTTTGTTTAAAGCTTCAACAGCGCCTAGAATAACTGCACGATCATTAGATTCAGTGATATTTTTACAAACAATGTTTAATGTGGCATGTTGTAGAGAACCAACATCCAGAGGAACAACTGGTCCAATATTACTCAGCATATCAAATCCAATCTGATGTAAACAATTCCAGCGTGTTGCACAACACAACAACACAAATCTCAAAAATGTCAAATCTTGTCCCATCACTTTCATATTTTCATCAAAAAAAGTTAAATTTCTAAGAATCAGGGCAACTTGGTACACTCGTTGGCCATAAGGATCATCTGTCCCAAGAGGCCTTTTGAGGCTAAATAACTCATCATCAGAAGAATCAAAGTTCAATTTAACTTTGTTTCTAATTTCATCTTCGTCATCACTACAAGTGCTTGAATCATCATCTCTACGTGGAGGAGCTTCTTGTGTTCGTGCGCAAAAACGATTCTCATCTGTCAAATATAAAAGCTCTTTTTCATCCAAAACTTCTTTCCAAAAAGTTTTATAAGACCATTTGCGAACTTTTTGATAATATTCTTCCCAATATTTTCGAGAAGCAGCTGTAAAATTGTAAACAAAAATAAAGCACTTTTTTTTGGATTAATTTTAAAAATAAATGATCAGACAAATAGTGTATTATATAGAAACAATATATGAAGGGCTCATTTTAAAAATAATGAAAAAATATGATATTAATTATTTCCTTAAATAATTAATAATAATTTAATTAAAAAAAAAAAGTGATTGTTCATTTAACTTACGATGAGTAAATACTCCAGCATGAGCTAGAAGGTGATGAAGTATTTTTGGACATTTAGACAGTTTAATAGCATGTTTGTTTTCATTGGACAGAAGAATACAAACATTTATTGCCAAGTCTTGTTCATTTGGCAATGGTGATAGCAGCGATAATGATAACTTGTCATAGTCACTTGGCTTGTATAAATTAGTTGACAGACCATGAAATGTTCTTACTTGGTCTTTAAAGAATATAAATACAATTAATAAAGAGATTTTGTGAAATACTAAATTTATACTTACCAGTTACAGAATGCTGATGATGATTATAAACTAAAGGAACAGAGTGTAAAGCTCTAGCTGACCATTTTTTATGTCTACTATCTTCATCATCATCACCTGCGATTGATCCAGTTTCCCCCAAAAAATTAATTTTTTCATAACGGTCCAAATATCTGTAATAAAAATTTTATTATTGAAAAAAAAAAAATGTACAATGAACAAATAAAAACATTACCTTAAATATATTTGTTTTAAGGCAACTTCAGCATTCACACAAGAAGAATTCAGATTAAAATTTTCTAAAAGATTTTTCCAATCATTTCTTTGATTCACCTAAAATTAAAAAAATCTGTTTGTAGATTTAACATAATAATAAAAATAATTAACTAAAATAAATATCGAGGAAAATATAACCCTTAAATAATTTATAAAGCATTAAACAAAATTTCATGTTTATTAATTAAGCTCTACAAGTCTGGTTCTAATTGTATATCCTTCAGCGAATCTAATTATATTCATATAATTTAATATTTATATTTAGCAACTCTTTATTTTTATCATGACTCACAGATAATTTTTCAATGTTTTACACCCCTCTTGCCTATAACTAAAATTATATTAACTCAAAAAAGTAATGATACAACTGGTTATAAACCACCAGTCAACATTTTATTTAGGCCATTCTTCATTTAATATTAAAAAAATAAATAAAAGTTCCGATTTAACTTTCGAAAGTTACGCCTAAAATCTATCCTTAAGAATAATTATTTTTTTACAATAAATTTTGTTTACTATAATCTATAAAAATAATTCAAATTTTAAATTGCATATTTTTATAAAAAAAATTATTATTTAACAAAAAAATGGTGATACATTCTTAAAAAATAACCTGTATATACATAGAATATTTAGTAAATAAGGAAACGGGTTTCTATTGTTCTCATTACAACATCTAACCTGTTTCCTTACTTACTGAACACACTGTATAAACGTGTATTCGTATAATCTTCTAATTTTAGGTTAGTGACAACACCCTTCGTTTTTTTCCACTAAGCTCTTAAAATTGTTTTTATGTCCGCTATAATTTATAATTATTATAAATTATTTAAATAATCTTTAGCATATTGATAATATATATTTATTAATTTATTTATATAGTCACATAAAAAAAATTAATTTTTAGTGTTGATTGGGAATTCAAAACGGCGCGATTTAGTTGGATAGGACAACTGTAGTGGACAACAACATATATAGTAGGCGCACGCTTTGGACTTAGAAGAGCTGGGAGGTAAGTCTAAAAAAGAGGTGGAATTATAGACACAGTCTGCGGAGGAGAGATTACGAGAAGCGCGGGGCAATGTTATGCCGCGTAACGTAATGTGCATTGCACACACCAGGCGACTGCAGAGATGCTTAAACGCACGGGCAGAACCACGTGGCGTCTGCTGGGCGCTGGGGGTATCCAGCTGATCGCTGGCAACTGTGACGTCACACATTGGAGAGGTGAACAGCCCCACTACCGAAGTCATTTTATCAATGGCCCCTTGCATGAAGATCAAGTGCATGTTGATGTCCGTGAATAGTAATAATGCACCAAAGTGCACTAAATGTGGATCCACATACCCAATGCAATAAGACCAACCACTTCACCACAGTTCACAACATAGATACTTTATCAACTAATTCATTTATGATAACCATTAAAAATATACACCACGCGCAATTTTAAAAATTGAAGGTACTTTCGCAACCAAGAGGATTGTAACTTATAATAAACAATATACCCTAAATCTACAACAAACTAATATAGAAACGTAGAACTTACAGTATTTTAATATGAGCCAAAGTTGAAATAAATCGACCTACACGAAAATAAGATAAATGTATTTTAAACCAATATTTTTAATAGTTATCAATTAACTCAATTATTTATTTAATATTATATCTATAATGCTAAAATTTTCTTTGATATTCAATTTAATTTTTTTTATTTTACCATTTAATCGCGTACACCTCAATAAAAACTGTTGTAACTCAATAAAAAAAAATTCAATTTTTTTCCAGAAACGTGTACTAAAAAACTTTACATTACATATTAACACATATATTACATTGCAATAGTTTCGGTCAAAGTTAGCTTTTAATAATTTTGAAATGTTATTAAATGTTTTCGAACGAAAACGAAAAACTTAATTCGAACGAAATTTATCGTCGCATAACTGTGAGTCAGGAGTGGGAAAAAAAGCCAAAATAAACAAAACACTATGTCTACTATGATAGTGAATTCTTAAGCAGTTAATAATAGAATAAATAAAATTTCTCGATAAAACGGAGAAAGTCGATTACATAAAATTGTAAAACATTGTAATTGTAAAGCACTTTTGTGCAAACAAACATTTAGAACCGTATAATCTAAAGGACATTATAGGAATACCCAAATACTATAAGTTTTATTTGGACTAAATTGCCACAATATAGAAAATTAAACACAATCCATTATTACTACTAGTCCATATTTTTTATTTTAAAAATATTAAAATCTTTAACTGGTATTTATATTATTTATTATTTCAAAAAATTCTTATTAAGAACATCTAACTACTATAAGGAATTACTCATCGATATATCGATCACCGAAAATTGCCCAAAAAGGATCAAAATGAGAAAGACAATACTAATTATGACTTAATCATTCGATAAAAAATATATTCGACAGAATATAATAGACGGCACTTCAAAGCGCGGTAAAAATGTTCAGCTATATGCATTTAAGAAAATGAAATATTTTAATTTTATTATATATTATTATGTAAGCATAGCTTGAATAAAATTCTAAATTTGGTTTTATTAAAATCAATAATTCTGTTAACTGATAAGAATGTAACATTGGAAAAACAAGCCATTTATTCCAACAAAAATTAACCCAAGATGTAAATTTAAAATCCTTGAAAAGATAATATAGTACAACAAAACTATTATATTTAAATTTCATGATTAATTTTATCATATTTATTTATATTTTTAAATATATCCTATTCTGAACTATGATAAATAATATCGAATTCGACAGAAAAGTGTAGTTTTAATAGCCATGTTTATCATCCAATAAATAGTAAAATAAGTACTAAAATGTACAAATAAGTATAAATTAATTTTTATTAATGCAACAGACAATATCTAAAATTAACTTTATAATTATTGTCAAAAATTGTTCAGCAAAACGAATTTATTAATGAAGTGAGAAATAAAATTAAAAAAAAACACAGATAATAGAGGCATTAACAAACCATACAACATATTCTGTAATAGTTGTCACAAAACATCCTTAAAAAATAATTAATTATCCGAATTTCAAAAATAACCCGATTTCAATGGGTTGAATGAAATCTGTGAACCATATTATTTTCTAAATAAAATAATGCGGTTGCCTTTATAAGCTTCACAGACAGTAATTGTTATATATTTAATTTTAAACTCTACTTAATATTTTCAGAATTTTATGCATTAATATAAGTAAATATTTCAAAAGTAATAGATAACTACCACTAGTTTTAGTCACTATCTTTACTAAAGACATTCTACTTTAGGTAGATATAAAAATTGTTTCAAGGTCCAGTAATGTTTTTTTCCCCTAAAAATTGTGCTATTTCTATATTGTGTCATATCAATGTTAGTCATAAAACCAATTGTCAGAACAATAGACGAACAAATAAGTGACAAAATCACATAATTTAACAAAACCAATAAAACACCCACTTCTCATTACGGGACATACTAAAAAGCAGTACGTGAAACCTTTTTGCTAAATTTTCAATGCTAAAGAGTTTTTATACATGTATAATATAAAACCAATTATAATTTTTTTCAAATGCAATACGCCTGGAAAATATTTTTAAAACGTATACATATTATATGCTCAATACTACACCGACGAATAAAAAGAGTAAGGCTCATAATAATAAAACGTTTGGGCGCCAGATGTTGAACGTAGAATCCATTGCATGCTTTGCCAAAACGTGTGTATTATTACATACACAAATGTAAACGGGTTCCTGACTGACAATAAGCGTTTATACAGACCAAATATTTGATTACCTACGGCCAAAATAGGAAGAAGTAAGATTATTACAGCATAATCGAATATTAAAAAAAAAACAGTATTGATAAATTACAAACAAATATAAGTAACAAAACGTAAAATAGTTGGAGATCCAAATTGGAGACATTTTAAACAAATTAAGTACAATTCAATACAGCCATCGGCAAAAAATAATACTAATTCATAAAAATAAAAAAAATTATCAATAAAATATTTATACAAGGAGCAAATAATTTTGCACGACACGGATCCAAGGTGGTGTTGGTCGTCCGGAAGCGGTTCGACGACCCAACCGAGACGAGAAAACTCGCGACGATTATGGCGGGGCAACGTATAATTTTTTTATAGGTGCGGGGATAATGGATAGAAGACTGGTGTATACGGTCAGCCGGATTTTAGTGAACGGCAAGAGGAGGAAAGGAGTCCAAGTGGAAGAAGAGAGCGAGGCCACCGTTACGGCGGCTAACGATAATTGTTGTGGTGGGGAGTACCACAGTCGTTGACAACCGCGCTACGACGGCGTCGCAACGTTGCCACATTGTGCGCGCCCCAGAACGGTTCAATAGCGCCATGATGCCAACAATACAAACTGTCGACTGCCGTTCCCATCGCAACCCAACGCAATAATATTAAACGTTAATATCACTTCATATATACCTAAATAAATTTTTATCGAATCATAATTTAATACAAATCAATTATTTTCCTTTTATCAACTACGTGTAAAAATAGTACACTTTATGTCCAAAAATCCTCTGAAGACCACGAAAGCCAAAGTTGAACATACCACCCCAGTGGGTGGCTTTTTACCCGTTAAGCCATTTCGGCAACCGGAAGTGGGGCCCCTGGCACGATGGCAACGTAAACAATCCGCGGTCGGTGCACTAGGTCAGGACCGCGACGCGTTGGTCACGTGCGTCGTTCGAGATTAGTGTTTAGGGTGGGGGAAGAGGATCCTTGAGTATGACGGTAATTCACTGACGACAGTGATATAAGCTAGTGATAAGAAAACATCGCAGCCCAATGCTCGGGCCTAATTTTCAAGAATCCAATGTAAACAATATACTCCACACATTAGCCTAAAACCAATGTTATTTTTGGAAAGCGTTTATTTCATAATTATATGTATTGTTTTTCCACGTGTTTCGAAACTAAAATGAACAGCTCGCATCAAAATCGTAACGATATCAACACAAAATTATATAGAATCTATCCAAAAATATTTTCAATTCCCTCCAGTTATCGGATAACGCAAAGCGTAAACCATTTATTAGAAAAGTGTACAGTTAACATTAAATAATCGATGCTGCACATATGTGCATTGCTCTATTGCTCCCTACTTTAATTTATACATCTATTTCCTCCGTGATTTACCCTATTGAGTACATCTCTCTTCGGACTTACCCAAATATAATATTCATAATACAGTACGAGTTTTAATTTAAAATGGGCATTCGATATATCTTTTCTAACAAAGACAAAATGTAGAGCTATGTAACAGTATTTCAATTACAAATTCAACAACGTCTTCGTAAAGTCACCATAATTATCCAACTAATTATTATTATAAACCCTAATCGTTGAATAAACGCAACAAATACAAGTGTTTTACATTAAAACATAATACTAATCAAACTAAAAAATGGCACATTAAATATTAACTTACCTTAACCCATCCTCCTTGTGCTGTGACGAGAACATATAAAAGGTACAAGTCGATTTCATGTCCATTAATTTTAGGTGGAGCACGACTCGGCGTTCTGTAAAATAAACAAAATGTTATTGTTACTTAGTATTTAGTAATCTTTGGTAGTTATTACTCAATTTGATGTATTTATAACTGGATTTTATAATTGAATAGTTTACTTTATAGACATATCGTACGCGCACGATAAAGATAAAGCAAAGATAAAAATGGCTATAATGGCAGATATTATTTATAATACGCTCACTTTATAAACTTAAACGTTTTTCCCACGCATATATCTATGAAAGGAAGAAACTTACTGGACTCGAGTAGTCCCAGAAGTCAAGTAAGTTTTTTTAGTCGTCAATTTGAAAATTAAAATTTATGATGAATAACACAAGATTGTCCGAAAATAAAATCATAAAATCAGAGACGCAATAAGACTGTGTGCTCTATGACAATAATATAAAAATTGATGAAACGTAATATTTTGCCACCCTATTAAAATATACCAGAAATTTACCGCAAGTCATTCCAGGCAGGGTAACATTCGCCTGGGTAAAGTTAATAATTCCTATCATTGGATTGTTAAATAATTCATTTAAACCAAGATTTAGGACTTGAAAAAAGTTTTTCTTCAGAAATCCAGCCTAAATGTAAACAACTTTAAAACTAGTGCACATCTACTAAGAGAAAGTGCAGTACAATGCGCTGTCATGTGCAACGTTGTGCCTACTACATTCAGGTACTAGAAAGTCGGTTGATGCAACGTAGAATACGCGGTAAATCTACTTTGCAAAGTAAAAACAAACAACATACAAGAACTTTGTCCATTCATTTTTCGGCGTACCTAAGTTTTTGTTTCAACAAGGTCACAAAATGTATAAATAGGTAGGGTACGTGCAGGTTATCTTCTTGTGGTATGCACGGTATCTACTAATTATAACCTACCAAGATTTCATACATATTTAACAGACCTGTACAAAATAATATTATTTGTCCTTAAAAGTACATATCGAGGTCTTAAAATATACAACTTTAGTCAAGTAATAGTTGAAATCACATGGATTTACTTTAAAATAATGTTATCTTTGAGCAAAAGTAAGATGAGTTCAAGCTCAAATATAAGTAACTGATAAATAATTGATTATTACAAAACAAGTAATTCAATTGAATTACTTAGTGGGGAGTTGATAACTGAAGGACAATTTAATTTTTATTGATTGCCATTTTCACACCGGGTCGGAAAATTGCCTTCAAATCATTTTACAATTAGAACGTAATAATTTGTTCTATGCAATGTATGAAACAAATTAAATCTATACGACACACAATAACATAGCGCACTAATATTATGTAACTAGGATAATTGTCTGGCTTGATTTCATACAATACTTGTTAGTCGATACACAAAAAACATTAAAATGAGTGTGGAAGGTCACCAAATTTATCAGACAGCATAAGTTCTTATTTGATAGATACAAGACAACAGATGCCGAAAAAAATACATTGTAGGTGTTCATGTATATTAGCACGCTAACAGCGAATAAGGCAAAACATTAAACATGGCTGCCCGCAGGTGGTATATTAATTAGGAAATAAAACACAAGCATACTATAGCAAATCTAAATAGAGGATAATGAAATAGCGACATATTGATAGCAAAGGGGAAGTAAACGTTGGGGCCACCTGAACATTAGGCAAACGGATGCTAGCGAATTACTCACCCTCTAGTGTCGTGAAAATGCTGCAAATCCCTGAGGAAACTGGATTTTTCCTTAGCATAGCTGGCCGGATCTTTGTTCAGGACGCTAGCCATGCCTGTGCCGAGACACCGAAGTCAGGGCGGCGGCGTGCTACTGTTTCAACGGAGGCGGCCGTGAAAGGGTTTGATGTCCTGGATTGTTAACGCTGGACGACGTCCGAGACGGTGGGCATAGTTCTTCACGTTGGCGGCCACTGCATCGTTGTTATCACCACCGGCGGCGGTGGCGGTGGCCGTTATCTCTACGCCGCGGCAAATCTGTGACGGACGCGCACACCCCACGCTCCCAACACGTACAGCAGCACTACAGTCCAGTCGGCGGCGCGCTTCCCGTATCGTGTCGCTCGACGGCCGGACAATGTCACAAGCGAACCGGTGCTAAAAAAACGGAATTATTTGCACTGTCACAGCAGTTGACCGATTTTTATTCAGAAATCAAACGCGCATACAACACTAAGGCGCAACACAAAATGGCGACACACACGCACACACGACGTCAAAAAAATTTATTTTTATTATTAAATAATGACGTACAACAGCCGTTAATTGCTGATCAACGTGTTCGGATGGGGCTATCGGTGTAGGCCTGAGCTGCGACGACGGGCGAAAAAAAACAAACCGAACACTAGCGGAAAACCGGGGAAAAGTCGAAATTTACTAGGCGATCCGGCGGACCATTCGTCATAGGAGCGCAGTGTGTTCACGTCGGTCGGATCGCTCCCACCCCACCACCAACGGAATATTATCCAAACATCAGTTCATCGCACGCGCACGCATCGCAGCCGCCGCTAATTTGACCGTTTACAGTGGTACCAACTCGATTTATAGTCACTCGTTACGTTTACAAATAAATTGAATACACAACAGCATTGTTCGTCACTCACAATGCTATTTCCCTTACCCCTTTTTATAGTCGTTATCTTGCTATTTTTACTTTTATCTGTTTGTATCACTCTATCATTGACCTCTGTTTGGGTGGACGACGCCAATATTACCCAGCACCCTAAAAAATCTATTGAGACAACCTTAGTAGTTCAAATTAATCGGCATTTTTTTTCACTTAGAAGACAAAATACTTAAATGTACATCCAGAGAATTTTTAAGATGGAGTGGTGTATATTATAAATACATAACAACTGTATATTTTTTTGAATAGCGTTTGTAACAAACTTAAGTAGTTGAGAAAGACAGATTTCTGAATTATATTAATAGAAATTTACAACCTCCTAAATATGATCCAACGTAAAACAATTTAATAATCGATTACATATATTTTTTACAATCAGTAAAATGCTTGAAAACTTAAATCATGTTGTCAATTACAACATTTTTGTGATTTTGAATGATGTTTGATTAAATACCTTTAAAAATAAATAACCCAGGTAAACCATAGAATTAAGCTAATGTCACGTTTTCGAAATACGAATAAAACAGTAATAAATAATATGAATATAATTGTAAGTGTTAATATTGCTAATGATTATAAATACACCATCAAAAATAAACGCCTAAAATTATAAAGTTATGCATTTTAAATTACACAAATAAGTTAAAAGTGTAATTCTTATAATTTTCTATTAAATATTTTTAATTTCTCCTTAGCTTTTCATAGAAATTTATGATTGCTGGTATAACATATCATAAGATTAATTCGATTTTAGCTTCTAAATTATGCTCAGAAGATAATAATTTTATTATGATATATTATTATTATTATTATTTTACACTTGGGTTCTACTGGAACAATTTTGCTTATCTATACATTAAAACAACCTGAATCATATCTCGTTAAATTAATTAACCTAAACTGAAAAATTCTCCTAATTTTTATTTTTACTTATGGAAATACCCCAAAGTATAAATATTTTCGTTAAAAACGACAAATTTTGTTTGTTTTTTTTTTTTTGCAATTTTAAACTACTATAGCTTTTTAAGTAGTCCTAGAATGGAAGCCTACAAGAAAAAGAAGTCGAGGACGGGCAAAAAAAATGTTTAGATGTAGTGGAAGAGGACCTATACCAAAATAGGATTTCAGGAACGAAGAAAATTGGCTCGGAACAGGGAAAATGGAGGGATTTAGTGATGACGGTGAAAACTCTTAGAGTATATTAAAACCCTTAATACACTCTAAATTGAAAATTTGAAATTTTATTAGATTTAAGCCCCTCCGTTTAATTTTACCTTATGGCATATTTAGGTTACAAGCTAAATAGCTAAAACTTAGTTAAGGTGTTTTAAGAATTATTGTTTGTAAATTTTTCTCATCTAAAATACTAGTATGTATTTTTTTTTATAATATTAATTAAGCATTAAGACACCAAAAAACAAAGTACGAAATTGCTTTTGACAAATCAATACTTTAACTTATAAGCTGGTTATAAAGAGAATTATCGAAGGATGTGCCCACTAATAAATATTTTTCATTTCAATTGTTTAAATTTTAATTTTTAACAATTTTATAAAACAATTCCTTTGGCACACACGTAGGTTGTCCGATAAATAAGGTACAAAAATATACTGAATAATGAAAAATGAATTTATTATTTTTAAACTTTTACATAATTTATTAGACATGTTTTTCTATTTTTCTACATAGTCACCATTTAATTTAATACATTTTTCCCAACGGTAGAGTAACTTGAAGATGCCATCTCGGAAATATGCAGCACATTTTCCGTCGAAGTACTCGGTAACTGCGTTCATGACTTCATCCTTATTTTGAAAATGTGTTCCTCCCAAGTGTTTTTTTAACGGACCAAACAAAAAAAAATCTGAAGGTGCCAAATCAGGGCTATATGGTGGATGTTGCAATACTTCCCACTTGTATTTTTTCAGTCAAGCTTTGGTTTTTCCCACTGAATGTGGGGTGGCATTGTCATGCAGCAGTTTCACATTTCCCAATCGTAATTGCCCTCTTCTCTTGAAACGAATTTTTTGGGAGATCAAGTTGTGTGGCCATTTCCCTAATTTTGAGTCGTCTATCCGATCGTAGCAGTTTTTTCACCGCCTTATTGGTTTCGGTAGTAGACGTGCTTATTGGTCGACCACTTCTTGCTTCATCTTCAACACTTTCTCGACCCAAATTAAATTTTGAACACCAAACCGACGCACTTTTTCGTGACATTACATTTGGGCCATAAACTTCAGTTATTTTTCTATGAATTTCAGTCGGAGAAACATTTTGAAAATTTAAAAATCGAATGACGGCGCGGACTTCTTCTTTTGTGCAACTTAAATATTGGTTTTCCATGTTAACACTTTCGCTGCAGACATAACACTTAATTATTATAGCCATGACTAATAAAATATATTGTTTGTTATCTAAATTATCAATGCTAAAAATTTTCAGTCGAAATTCCCCATTGTTTATGCTAAAAATAACTTTTTACCTTATTTATCGGACAGCCTACGTAGATGTAAAGTATATATTTTTTTGATACGTCCCCGCATAGTTTGCTAAAAATATACCAGTTGTAATTTTTTTAACTACTTATAATAATTAATTATGTTCTGCGCTCATTATAAACTTTGACATATAAATATAATAAAATTGTATATTAATTATTTTAGATACGATGCGAAACTGAGAAGGTATTAATTTTACTATGATGTGTTTTTTTTTTTGTGTCTGTCACAACTTTTTCTCAGCTCTCAATGGACCCATTTTTCTCAACGATACATAAAAAGATCACAAATCGTATCTAGTCGAAGACATTATCCTCAAAAATTAAAAAAATTTCCCTCGTTCCCTATAAATAGGGGAAATCTCCAAAAAAATGACTAATTTAAAAATCGCTAATTTTTGACACTTTTTCAATTTTGAAAAATGTATGGATCAATACAATTTTTTTATGAGAAATACTATTTCTATATCTCTTTCATTTGACATACTTTATTTTAAATCGAACCATTTCTCTTTATACAGGATGGGGTTCAAAACTTAAAAATGCATATAGAAAGTAGAACTTTTTCAACTTAATTTTTGAAAATATTTCGGAAATACTAACACTTCTATATATATCTTAAATTAAATATTATGTAATATACTTTTATACAAAAAAAATAATGTTCGGACTTTATTTTCTTTTCATGAAAAACGGATCATTTATCAAAATTAATAAAAAAAAAAATACGATTATTGAAAAAAAATTCTTTTTTTTTTTTTAAATTTATAATGTTATACATTTTTGAAAAATGTGTGGATCATTATATTTTTTAATGATAAATAGTATTTATATACTTTTTTTAAGGGACATATTTTTTTTTTTAAATCAGACCATTTCCCTTTATACAGGAGTGGTTTAAAACTTAAAAAAGTGAATGTAAAACTATTTCAACTTATTTTTAATTAAAATATATTTCTTGATTATTCATACGTAACCTAATAATCAAACGTAGATGTTTATTATACTAATTAGATGGATTTTGTTATTATTTAGGCCATATGCAAAACTCTAATTGCAGATTTGAAATTGGCGCAAAAATGGGTTTAGAAAATTATATTTTGGTCTCGGATGAAAATTCCTTGTAGACCAGTAAATTAATTTATAAATAACAAATAATTTTTTTTTTTTTTTAAGTATTGTATCAAAACCTTCAACTTTTATATATGTTTGCTATAAAAATAATAATTACTTTATAATTTTTTATAACTAACAATACTAAATTATTAAATATCAATTTCATACTCTATTTAATTACTATAATAAATATATATTCATAGATTACACTTATACATCATAAAACTTGTAATCAGAATATAAATAAAGAAATAGGTAGCTTTCGGACTAATCCACCAATTTTTTAAAATTAAAAACTATCTACAGATTTGCATCTAAGCGTGTTTTATTATAGTGATTTTAATGATTGTCAGATATCATCTACACTGGACCCAACTATGCCACGTCTCCACTTTGCCGCCACCCAACTGTGCTGGGTTTTTTTTAATAACAATCAAGGCCTAAAAATATGGAACGTGTATAAAACAAATTTCTTTGACATTTATTGATAATTTATTTTTATTCCGTGACCTTTTTTTAATTTTTGTTTTTATTGCAACTTCATATATTGAAAAATCTCAAAATTAGTTGTTAAAATATTTTTAAGTGCGTGTGACATCCTCTCCCCAAAACTTTAATTATATTACAGATAAAAATATGTAATTGTAATATCATATGTAATTCTAAATAATTTATCCCAAATTTTATTATTTTTTAATATTTATTTTAATGTTGTAATGTTTTGTATATTTTAGCGTGTCATTACAAAGATCAATTCTATATTTTTTTTGTAGGATCACGCAAAATATAATTTTAATAAAAATGTAAAAAAATTTAGCATTTAAAATTGTTTATTATTTAAAATATAATTTCCTAATTAGTCATCACTGGATGATGAAGACTTTCTCTTTGATTTACACTTGTACATTTTCTGAATCTTTTGAATATCTTTTCTGCTAAGACCTTCCCTTTGACCCATTATCACTCCTCGAGTCTAGAAAAATAAATGTATTAATTTTAATTAATTATTTTATCATAAAATTTACTAAAAAAAAATTTCTTTTCTTTAACTAAATGTAATAAAAATTTTATTCTAAATGTGTCTAATCACCGGTCAAGTAGTTCTAAGCAAAATTTACTTAATAACTATCTTATAACAAGGACTAGGAATTATTATTTATACATTTTGTTAAATTATTCTAAACATTACAATAGCCAATCAAATGTTTATTAGTTAACTTGAAAACTTACAGAGTTATTACTGAGTATATAGTTTCAGGGATGATTAGAGGGGTAATCTGTCTAAAACGAAAAATATTTCCATGATACTATATAATCCTATGACAAAATTCCATAAATTTAGGACCCTCTAAAGTCGCTCAAATAAAATGTATATATGCATATAATTCCTATGATTAATCAATGCTCATGATTCATAAATTAAGTTTATTATTACTATTTTTAATTAAAGTTCATTTTATATTTAATATTCCATCTTATTGGGCCTTATTATTTTTAATAATGCACAGATATTGTTGATGTATTTTTAAAAATAATTATTCAAATAAATTTTGTGAAATTTACAACTCTTTTAAAAATAATTTTAATTAATATATGAATTAATTTAATAATAAATATAATATGGGATTTTCTTTTTCCAAAACCTCTACTACTTAACACAGAAAAAACTATTTTGTTGGTCTAATTCAAATTATGATTAATATAGTGACAACTTATTTATATTGCTAAAAGAACTATTCCTTTATAGTTTCACCAACTATAAACTAAATTTATTTAGTAATTTTAAGTGGTATTATATAATTCAGCTAACATATAAAATAGTTCCTCCAGCTATATAATTATGTTGTCACTATATTAACTATAATTATAAGATATTTTTCCGTTTATTTTATAATAATTTCAAATTATTATAAACAATAATATTTAGTATAACTATCAACATCATATACCTTAGCATCAATAGTTGGTTGACCGTTTCTAGAAAAAGCATTAGCTGAGTAATGCATAACACTGCGGTAATCGTAACCAACTCCTTGGTCGTCAATCATTGCACTTTGAGCTTTATCAAAGTTATTCTCTCGCCCTACACAAAAAATACAATTTTTAAAGGGAAACAAGTATTATTAATAGCATCACGTTGTTGAAATTTAATTATAAATTTTTTAAGTACAATGAAATATTTATTATCATTTTAATCGTATCAATTTAGAACACCAGTAAAATGTTTACAAATATTGTTAAGATATACAAAATGTTTATTCATAAGAATTAAATTATGAAATCTGTAAAATATTTGGCTGGCCCACTGAATGATATAAATCTTATAGATCGAACTTATAGTATTTTATACTTTATAAATCTAATTTTTTAATTTAATTTTGATAAAATGAAAAAAGCTATTAAAATATCTTTTCAATAAAATTATATTTTATTCTAACCAGATTGAATGTTATTGAAATTGACTGTGACGTAGCTATCTCTATCTGGTCTATTTTGTTCGTGCATAAATCCAGCGGCATGAAGCATTTCATGCATGACTGTTCCCTTTTTGGTTAAACAGCCTGGGCTCTGCAGGTTAACCTAGAATAAAAAAAAAAATAGAGAAATAATTGCAGAAATTATCAATCTGTACATAAATGACTGAAATAATTTACTTCTTGTCTACCGCCAATTCTACCCACAGATGACCAACATCCAGTATTGCCGTTGGTAAAGTAAACATAATCGGCATCGTGAGAAGTTCTTGGAGTAAACCTTAAACAAGTGTTTTTTTTATAATCTTCAATTGCACTCATAATCATTTGCCGATCAGCAGAAGCTACAAATATACGCTCACATAAATTTTTGTAAACTAATTTTTCATAGTTATTCAAACAAACATTTTTATAAAAAAAAGGTTTGTATATTATCGATTGTAATAAACGATATAAATTTCATGATAGAATGCCACTTGTATTAGCTGAATGATACACTTACAAAAGTAAGGACTGATTTCATATGGTATGACTCCTTTGGGCCATCTGGATGAAGTAGCCTTTAGTCCATTGCGACCTTGTCCCGTAGGGTGTAAAATATCTCCTTCGGCATATTCACCAAGCTCTTCTGGATTCAGTGCACTACTTTCTTTCCAAGTAGAAACCGCTTCTCCAGTTTTCTTGTCTGGTGTTCCAAAAATAGACGATCCTAAGTGCATAAGCTCGTTGTATAAAGTGTCTTCGCCGGAGACGGAAGCTTCCACTTCGTTTTCGTCTTCTTCCTTTCGTAAGTTGACGGGTTGAGCCAAAAGTAGGGGTAAACAGATCGTCAAGAAACACAATAACACCCTCATTTTGTTTGGTTAACAAAGTATGATTAATTAAAAAGGCGTTAATTTTGTTCCCTCTATATTTGAATTTAATATTATGATTAGTTTAACGAAACGCTGTGTTTATATATAAACTTATTAGACCGTAATTAGCTTTGATAATATTCGATTGTTGTCAATTAAGGTAACGGCACTTAGTGTATTTAGTAGTACTTTTTTGTGGCAGGGTTAGCTTACAATAATTATTATTCGTACGGAAATCGCGAAGATAAGGTTTGTTGTATACGACAAGACTTAGTTAACCGGATTTTTCTAAGAATTGTCACAAAACTCAGAACCATGTAATTGTGTTCTTTATAAACATTTCAATGGTGATAAACGCTCAATTATATTGTTTGATTTACATTCGTGTAAAACATCATCGAAAAACATGTAAATTAAATTGAGCACAGCATATTTTTTGATGATTATAGGTATATACATGTTCGTTTTTTACTAACACTCTACAAATTAATTAATGAGCGTAAATATGCATTAATAATTAGAATATTAAGAAATAACGGGAGTAAATTAAATTTGAAACAATGAAGACAATTTTACAGAAAAGTTCTAGCGCAGAAAAGAAGTTGGAATAAAATAAATAATATTTTTAATGAATAAGGAAGGCGAACTCCTTAATAGAAATCCATAAATTTTAATTTAAATACACACTTAGGAAAATAATTATTACTACAACAAAACATTCAATAAAAAATTGCATATGTAACTTAATATTGTAGTTTAAAAAATAATCAAAAGAAAATTTTTTTTTAACGGCTTGAGTGATTTAATTTCTATTGGAGATTTTGTTAAACAAAAGGCAACATAATTTTATCTCTTTTAAAATAAATTGACAAATAATTGCCACTTCCAACGAAAAAAATCGTAACTAACATTTTACAATTGTTTAGGAGAGCCGTTTAAAGTTTTAAATTACGTATCTTTTCTATATATTTCTAGTTTTGTTTTATGATTTATGAATAACACTGCTCATTTTTATGCATATTTCAGGGGAAAAAATCATCAAACAAAATAAACCATGTATGGTAAAAAGTATATGCGCCTACCAATTTTTGACGATTATTGTAGAATAATTTTTAGAAGTGAAGTGTAAAAATAAAATATACTTTATTACTGCAGTTCTAATGATTATTATTTGGAATATATTAAGTATTATAATTTATAAGAGTTATTACGTTTTATACGCGTTTAAAACATCAATATTTTCAAAATTTATATTGATTTTTGGGGACGTTTCAAATATGATTTTTAACAACTATGTTGTTTATATTTTTTACTATCAAACATTACATATGTGGTTCTTTATCGTATGCCAGTAAATTACGAAAGAGTTTACTTTTAATACTTGTATATTATATAAGATAGTAATAAAATTAGTATTTGAACTCTAAAAAATTGCTAAAATTGATACATTAACTCTTGAAAAATAACAACAAATTTATACAGATGAGGAAGTTTTTAAAAAATTAAGGAGTGTTGCTTATAACTCTATAATGGTCTCCTGAAAAATGCGTGTACTACATAAGTGAAATGTAATTGTGTATTTTATAGGTTACAAAGCAAGCAGTGGTGGTGAATTGGAAAGCAGGGTTCTTAGGAGTTCTTAGAACATCCGTTGATTCTGAAATAAACTATTTTTAACTATTACATATTACATATATATGAGAATCGTAGAAATCAATTTGTAAGACCTATTTATTTTGGTTAATTTAACAGACTATGAAATATTTCTAAAATAAAATTTGTATTGATTATTAGAACCCCTATGAAAAGTTCTACTTCTACCATTGACTCGGTAATAAGTAAGGAGTGTCTACAATATACCTGCGTGATGTTGATAGATAAAAACAGTTTATGATAAATGTTATCATTAATCTTAAATTCTCTTTGAACTTTATGTGTGTACTCTTCAATGTCAAAGTTAGAAAAAAAATCGAATTTTTGAATTCAATAATTGAATTCATATATTTTTTGTACATATTTAGTATTTAATAGTTTATAGTTACTCGGTTAATATTTTTAATAAGTAACTTTGAAATGACTACCTTACTTTTACGATCAGTTATGAAAGGTGGATTATCTAAGCATTTTATAAAGAAAACCACACACTATTCAATTAAACTAGAGAGAGCTTCTATCCACATCTCTTCATTTCTATATGGTACCTTTAAATTAATTGTTTTTTAATATTTAGTAAAATATTTAAATGTATCTGTATTTTAGTAAAAGGTCAAGAAATCAAAATGCCATCTCTGTCTCCCACTATGACTGAGGGTAATATTGTAAAGTGGTTGAAAAAAGAAGGAGATACTATTGCTGCAGGTGATGTTCTGTGTGAAATTCAAACTGATAAGGCTATTATGTCCTTTGAGACCGAAGAAGAAGGGATACTGGCAAAAATTTTAGTATGTTTTATTAACTTATTACAAAAATATTATTTTTACAAAAAATAGTTTTATAATTTTTAAATAATAGTGAATTGTGGTAAACATAAACAAATGGAATAAGTATAAATATAGTTTTTCTTTTAGAATATTTTTATTTAGATAGAAATGTTCTGGTCCTTACATGATTTTTATCATGTATGTAGGTTTGGAATAAATACTTGTGTATTAAAAAATACATTTATATTAATCCTGTATAATAAATTCTACTATATATTTATCTAGAAGAAGAATTTTTATGAAAGCAGTATTTTCAATGACTCTGGTGGTTCACTCTTCTTTTTGGTCAGTCCTTTTTAATAATGTTAAAGTATTAGAAGTATTATGAGAATATAAGAGTATTTAGCATTCTATAAGTTACTCTTATACAAACATACACAATATTAATAAAAAAAAAAAATACATTTCTTTTAAAATGTGTACTTAATTTTTAAAATATTGAGGTGAGTTATATGTGCACATTCAGATTAAATTTTGGGTCTAATAAAATTTTGGTTTATAACCATAATTTAATTTTTTGCTTAGAAACAATTGCAATATTAGTAAAATAATAAATAGTTTTAGTTGTTAGAGAGGTGGATAAGAACTGCTCATGTACTCATACCTATAGGTTCATTATACGCATTTCCTACAAAAATAAATAAATAAAAAGGCTTTTTAAGAGTATTTAGGGCTTCCTAATATATCCAAATGTGTGCCAATGGGTTATTAATGGGCTTTCTATTACCTTATGGTTTTTCAGTTATAATTTTCATTCTCCTCTTTAAAATTCATTTATAAACGCAACTATGAAAAAGTAGTATCTCCTAATAAAAAATAGCATTACAAATATATTTTTATGTGAAAAATATTATAAATATAAAATATTGAAAATTACATAAAAATAAATTAATTTTGTTAAATGTTGTTTTATGGTCTTTTCTCTGAAACCAATTCAAATATTATAATCTATAATATAATATCCTAGGAAAAAAATGTTTAATTTTGTTTAAGGTTCCAAGTGATGCTAAAGAAATTAAAGTAGGTTCATTAATTGCACTTATGGTATCTGAGGGTGAAGATTGGAAAAATGTCGAAATGCCTGATTCAAATAGTAATGAAGTTATTGCCAGTACAATTGAAGAGGTAGATGAATCAAGCCAATCATCTGGAGGGAATAGTAATAAATACAAATTTTCAAAATTTTTATTTACTGTAGGTAATATTATTTTTAAGCACCTGGAACTGAAATACGAATGCCATCCTTATCTCCAACCATGTCAGAAGGTACAATTATCAAATGGTACAAAAAAGCTGGCGATAAAGTAGCACCAGGAGATGTTTTATGTGATATTCAAACAGACAAAGCAGTTATGTCTTTTGAAACTGAAGAAGAAGGAATATTAGCTAAAATATTGGTAATATTTGAAAAATATTCAATAATTCTAAAGAATTTAATTGTAACCTTTTATATTTTTTTTATGATAACTTGAAAATATTTAAATTAAATGTATATTTTCTGTTTTTATCACACTTCAATGTCAGAACTAGAATGCTACAAGTTTATATTTATAATTTTTTTAATTTTGGTAAAATTGAAGAATTTAGTCTGTAATTTTTATGTAATAAGTTTTTTTTATCTCAAAATGCCTTTTTCGAGAAAAGGTGATATTTTTCTGACAGTTCAAAAAGCTTAATAGATTTGTTTATTTTTTCTCTTTTAGATGGGTGATGATACCAAAGATGTAAAAGTTGGTGATTTAATTGGACTTATGGTATCAGAAGGAGAAGATTGGGCTGATGTTCAAGTTCCTGGAAAAAAGAAATCTATTTCATCAGAATTGAAGAAAGAATCTCAAACACATATTGATACTAAACCATTTTCAGGGCCAGTCACAAGACATTCTTAGTAAATTTTAATTTATTATATTCTATTTAAATAAAGTAAATATTTTAATGACTTTTATTTGTAGTTCTGGTTATAGTCCAGCAGTTAGATCAATTTTAGAGTTATATGCTATTGATGGTACTAAAATTCAAGGATCTGGAAAACAAGGAAAACTTCTTAAAGGCGATGTATTGTATTATATTGCACAAAATAATTTGTCAATAAAACCTCCTAACTTGGGTAATATTCATTGTTTAACTAAAATGAAAAAGCTCAAACCATAATATAACTGCTTTTTTCCTTAATTAAATTTTAGTACCTCTACCTGGAGAAACTCCATCAAAAACATCAGGATCCATAACAATGGTAAGACCGCCTAAAGGAACAGGTTTTACTGACATTCCATTAACACCTATGAGAATGACTATTGCTAAACGGTTGACTGAGTCAAAAGTACATACATTCATTTATTTTTATTTTGTTTTATAAAAATAAATATGTTTTCTAACTTTAGACCAAAATACCTCATGCTTATGCAACTGTTGAGAGCAATATTGATTTACTGCTAGGACTTCGCAAGCAACTTAAATATGCTGGGATTAGTGTTTCTGTAAATGACTTTATAATTAAAGCTGTTGCTATTGCCTTAAAGAAATGTCCTTTAGTCAACTGTCATTATATTAATAATCAAGTAATGTATATATAGTACATATTATATTAAATAATTATCTTGGTTATTATAAAACTATTTTTATTTTTAATCCTATATATTTCACAAGATTTGAGGCATAAATATATAATTTAATTAAATAAAGTAGTATTAGAAAATTATTTAGTGAAATCTAAACTCTATTTCTATTTCAAATTCATGTGTTTCACATTTCATAAATAGGTATAATTAAAGATAAATTTCAGCTTTGTTAAAAGTTGCAATCATTTTTAATAGATAATAAACAAAAAAGTTATGTAAAAAAAATTTGTTCAAGTATATTCTAGTTGGATCAAGTATAATGATATCTTTTGTCTTATGAACTTTATTCTATGTCAATTAAATTATATAATATTCATGAAATTCAATATATTCTCCTAATAAGATATTTTAAAATAAAATAAAATACAAAACCTAGAATTTTAATACAAAAATAGCATATTTTTGAATATGATAGCCATTTGTGCATAGAAAATAGGTCGTCGGAACAAATTTTTTTTTTTATTTTATAATACATAAAATAAGCGTTAATTTTATAAATGTTTAAAGAACGCAATATTTCCAGAACACTTTCAAAAGTTAAGTTGAAAAAGTTAGTTTTTGTAAAAAAGTTGCTTTTTTAAATCCCCTTTGTGAGCAGAATAAGTGTTAGATTTTCAAAAAAAATGATATCAAACAAAAGGAAATTACCTAAGGTTTCAATATAAAAAAATATTATGTTGATTTGTTTATTTTTGAAAAAGTTATGGAAGTTTTAAGAAAAAAAAGTAAAAAAAATGACAAAATTACCGATTTTTAAATTTGTAATTTTTTTGGATATTTCCCCCATTTACGGGGAACAAGGAAAATTTTTCAATTTTTAAGGGTAATGTCTTTAACTAGATACGATTTATGATCTTTTGACGTATTGTTGAAAGAAATCTGTCTAGTGAGAGCTGAGAAAAAGTGGCGACATAAAAAAAAAAAACACATCATGGTAAAATTATTACCTTCTCAGCTTCGCATCGAAGCTAAAAATTTTCCAATAAGCTAATTTTTATTGGCTTGAAAATATTTCAATGACTATTAATAACAAGCACAGTTACTAATTAAATAAATGATGATATAAAGTAACACTGTATAAAATAGGTTCAAAAAAATACAGAAAGAATAATATTAAGATAATAGTAACAAAGTTTTAAGTAAAACAGAAACATTATCAAGGTGACTAAGCTTGAATTTTAAGGACTAAGCCCATAAGAAAAATGTCAAATTATACCTGTTATTTAAATTTATTTCTGTAATTGACCTATAGTATAGTATTAGTTATACAGGGTGTTCAGTAAGTCAGGAAACGGGTTTCTATTGTTTGTAACAATGAGAACAATAGATACCTGTTTCCTGACTTACTGAACACCCTGTATAGTATATATTCATGATCATTATATTTTAATACCTAAAAATTTTAATTGATAAAATCAAAAAAAATTATTAATAGTAAAAATTGGTGATTAAATATTTTAATAAAATACTTACTATTAAATCTGGACAAACCTGAATTGTTACTATATCAATAGTTAAATTATCACGATATTGATTTTATTTTTTAACATATGATCAGTGCTCGAATTGGGGGGGTGTGCAGGGGGACGTAGCTCCTCTACTTTTTTTTAAATTTTTTTGCGCACCCAAACTACTTTTTTTTATTGTGACGGGAGGACGGTGGAAAATACCACCTTTTTTTTTTTTTTTGTAAATATTAGTATGATAATGAAATATGATTTATTAATAAATACTAAATAAAGTAATGAGTAAAAAAAAAAAAAGGTCTTCAAAATGCTAGGGACGCAGTTTTCAAATTAAGTTGAGCACCCCTACTTATTTTTGGCCAATTCGAGCACTGCATATGATAATTTAATTTTCTTTAGGTTGTTTTGCAACAAACTGCTGATATCTCTGTAGCAGTTGCTACTGATTCAGGGCTTATCACTCCAATCATAACTAATGCCAATAACAAAGAGATAGATGAAATATCATCAGAAATTAAAGAATTGGCAGGAAGGGCTCGTAAAGGAAAATTACAACTTCATGAATTCCAAGGAGGCAGTTTCACGTAAATTTTGCTTTATATACAAATTTTATCTTTTTCAAACCATTAAAATAACTTCTTTATACATCTTTTTAGTATTTCCAACCTAGGAATGTTTAATATTTCTGAATTTAGTGCAATAATAAACCCACCACAATGCGGTATATTAGCTATTGGAAGTGGACGTCCTGTTATAGGTACTTATTTTGTTATATTATTACTTTTAAATATTAATCATGTGTGCCTTAAAGCTTTGAATGGAAAACCCCAATCAATTATGACAGCAACATTATCATATGATTCTCGTGCTATAAGTGAATCCGCTGCTTCAGATTTCTTAGAAACTTTACAAGATTTGCTTCAAACTCCAGCCTCACTACTTTTAACAAAACAAACTCGTAAAGTTCATGTATCTATTTGATTTTGAAAATTTAATAATACAAAGTATTTTTGTTTCTTTATTGTATAGCTTATATTTTTTATTATTTTTTATCTGAATTAGACAAATGAGCATGATTGTTAAAAATTTTAATTGCTGTTATATTTATTTTGTCCAATTCTGATATAATAAATGTTGATATTGAAAATATACTTATTGTTTCATTACATATAGTTTTTTAAAATAAACATACAATTTAAAATTACATAGGAGCTGGTGGAGGAGGTGGTGGAATACTTGGTTTCCAATTCATAGGCATCATATTGTTTGGTTGCATGGGAGGAGGTGGTGGCATTGGTGGTCCACTGCCCATTGTCATAGGAGGAGGTGGTGGTGGCATCATGTGATTTTGCATATGAGGTGGAGGAGGCATTGCAGGATGTGAAGGTGGTAATGGAGGAGGAGGCATCTGTCCTTGTTGAGATGGTGGTGGCGGAGGAGGTGGAACAAATCCCCCATGAAAACCTGGAGGAGGAGCAAAATTGTTGAAATTTGGTGGAGGAGGAGGAGGTGGAGGTTGATATGTAGGAGGTTGTGGTGGTGGAGGTTGCTGATTTTGCCATGGCATTATACGTGGTGGTGGAGCCATTTGGTGTTGAGTCATCATTGTCATAGGTACTTGCATTTGTTGTTGCATAATAGGTGGAGGAGGAACAGGCATTTGATGCATCATAGGTATTTGAGTAGGTGGTGCATCAGCAAACAACTGATGAGGACGATCAGCTTGACTAAGAGGATTTTGAGCAGCAAGTAATCTTTCAGCAGCTGATCCATGGCGTTCTCCCTTAACATCTTTTTTGAATGCATAAGAAATAGATACAGCTCTGTTACATAAATGTTGACCATTCATTGCTTCTATTGCAGCATCCGATGCTTCAAAACTAGCGTAATTTATGAATGCAAAACCTTTAGAATTTCCTGTATCAGGATCTCTCATTATCTACAATAATTAATATTTTATAGTATTTAAAATTAATGGTTTGTATATTTATGAGAATTTTTCATAATTAATTACCTTAGGTGTTTGTAAAATTACTCCAAAAGCTGAAAATGTATCATACAGTAATTTTTCATCAACTTCTGAGTCTAGATTACCAATAAATACATTTGCACCAACATCCAAATTCTTTTGATGAGCTGAAGCCTTAAATAAAACATAACATTTATTAAAATATTTTTATTAAAGAATTCTTTTTGATTAAATATTGAAGCACAATAAAAATATAATGACTATAGAACAATTATAATTTGAGAGATAATTTTTATAATACAATTACAATATAATTTTAATAAGATACATTTCAATTTGTAATACCTTGTTAACACGTATTGGTTTACCATATAGTTTTATCATATTCATTATTTTTATAGCATAGTCAGCATCATCTTCTGCAAGAAATTCTACAAAACCATATCCTTGGTGGGACTGAGTCACTCTATCCTTTGGCATATGCACATTAACTAAAATTGTAATTTCCAAAATAATATTTAAAAAAAAATACATGATTGCATAAATTATATCAACTTACCAACTGGTCCAGCTTGCACAAATAATTCCCACATAAGTGTGTCCGAGACTTTTTCATCAAGACCACCAACATAAATAGTTGCATCTACATTTATTAATTAAAATTTATTTAGATTTAATTATAGAATATAATTATTATTATATTATAAATGATAAAATTATAAAAAAATTCTTCTAATATTGTTAATTTTAAAAAATATGGGTTTAATGGATGATAAATTATAATAACAATAAACAAAAACATTAAAATAGTAATAGCATTAAATAAATTATAAATAATACATTGTATTATTTTTAGTAATATTAATAAGATTATTAAAAGGCTCAAAAATTTATTTTTTACCTTAAATAACATAGTAAAAAATTTTAAATATTTTTTTAATATTAAATGACTAGCCACAAGTGATCAATTCTTATTATAAACTTAATAAAATTTACATAGAATCCACTATGTTAAAACACAATTAAATTATTTAAAAATTCTAATCAGAATATTGAACTATTATATCATGATTAGACCTCTCGTCGATTATATATTGTCAATTTAATTATTAATTATATTAAAAACTTACCTTGATTTCTTTCAGCAATAGGTCCTGCAGCCATTCTTTATGATTATTTTCAAATTAATTGAGTAACGAATTCATTTAGACAATATTTTATTATCTAGAATAATTTTAGTTTACTTCTATATTTTGAATAAATTAGCCTGCAGCCGCTTCTAAAAATTTCAACGCAATATTAAAAACAAACGCGGCTTGTGTGCTAATTTATTGATAATATGAAGTCTTGATGATACGAAAACAGTGTTGCCAGATTTAATTAATTTTTTTCAATTACCTTTACAAGACAAAAAAAAATGAATTAATAAAATTTTTATGTTGAAAGAACGTTAAAATAAAAACCATCTAAAATAAAAAAATTCTAATAGATCAAATTTTTAGATCGTTGAAATTTTCTAATTTTTTTAGTAAACATATATAGCGATATTAAATAAAAATAGGTTTAATAACAACAGTGAAACATTCCCCGACATGGCCGTATTTATATGGAGTTTGCGGAATGTGATCCCTTCCGTGAAATAATCAAATTTTGATCTAAAATAATATTTTCAAAGGGATGTCGAACAAACTGAATAAATATGTCTTAAAAATAATATTTTTTATAAATAATGAAAAAAAAATGTTTAGTCTCCTTTTAAAAAAAATTCTAAAACGCACCTATCCCTAAATAAAAAAATCGAGCAATAACACTAGCGATGAAATCTTGTTAAGTCATCCTTTATTTAATAACAAATTAGAAAAAAGTGAGCCAATGTATCAAATAAAAACTTTTTAAAAATAATTTTATTTAAATAACAAGTAGTCAGAAAAAAATGGAATTACCCTCCTATGCGGGATTACATCTAATTCCACTTAAAATTGTTTATTGAAAAACCACTAGTCATTTCATATTTCATAATTTCTCTCGGCGAATAAAAACTAAAAGGAAATGAGTTAGTTTATGTCTCAAAATACAATTCATTTTTCTACGTCATTTATTACAGATTTTGTAGTCAAATTACCTTAAGAGGCAGTATTACCTGTATCTTCTATATTATTTTTGAACATATAGGAATAAACTGAAAGGATTTTTAAAATAAAACAAGCTATTTAAAATAGGTTAAAAAATTGGTACAATGAGACCTCTTGATTAATAAAATAGTCAAAGTCTAAAAATATACTAAATACGACTTGATAAATTTTTCGTGATTTAATTGAAGAACGATATAAATAGACTTTTCGCTATGGTATGTAATGATTTTGCTCTTTTTTGTGTCATTAGTTTAAATTTATCAATTTATACTGGATTGATTTTGCTCAACAATAAGTCAAAAGATTACAAATTTTATCCATTTTGCTTCCATCAAAAAGAGACGAGAAAAAAATAATTTCATTTTTAATTAAAACATATCTTTACTGGCTAGTAAAATTCAAAATAAGTTAAGTTTATGGGGTTTTGAGTGTTTCCTCTACCGGTTCTATCATGTCTTTTTATTTATGATAAAATATGTAAACACAAGAAGTATTAAGAAAATAATTAATATTATAGATTTTTGAGTTAAATGTATTAATATAAAAACACAAAATTTGGTGCACAAGTTTGTTGTTAAGTATTTAAACCAACTTAATATTACTTTAATAAATAAAAAAATTAATTTGCTAGGGTATTTTGTTCATTAACTATGTAAAAAAATAGAAAAAAAAATGTAAATAAATAAAAAAATAAATATTTTATTTTATAACAAAAATTAAGTATAATATTGTAGTAGTAATGAATTACATATATATAAAGAAAAGTGATAACAATAACTTAGTAATATAAACAAGTCAGTTATAGTTTAATACATCAAAGAAAATAAAAATAATATAACAGTAAGATTAAAAATTGTACAAAATATGTTGTATTGTAACAGTATAAAATCGATTTTAGAATTTGAATACATTTATTGCATATTTATTGGAAATATACCCTAATTATCTATCAAATAATGTTTTACCTTCTCTGGCTAGTCTTAATGCATGCATAACAGCCACAGTATCTAATTCTTTTTGAGTAGGTCTTTCATTATCTAAACAAAAATCTGATGTTCTTTTGTTTAGTGTTCCTATAATTTTGATTCTGTAATCAATTATAGTAGATACTGGATTTCCAGATAGTACTAGATAATTCATATTTTGTAAAGCAGAAAGATGAGAAACTTCACTTATATCATCAACAATATTTGATCCTAGGTCTAACATCTCTAATGAATATAATTTCGAAAATGCAATTAATTTACTTATTTTATTTGAAGACAAATCAAGACAAACCACATTTCCTAATCTTGTATGTAAGTCAAAAACGTCGATAATATTGTTGTTAGAAAGAAATAAATGACTTAAATTAGTAAGAACTGTAAGATCATCAAATGTATTTATAAGATTACCATTAAAATTTATTGTTTTGACATTAGGAGTTAAAACAGTGAGACTTCTAAGAGTTTCAATTTCATTCCAACTAAAGTCTACAGATTTAATTTCATGCCAAATCATATTTTGATCCATATCAGATGACCATTCTTTATGAACATTATCACATAGCAAAATATCTTCTGGAGTTTTTAATTTTGAATTATAAACAGATAATTTACGTACTGTTTGACGTAATGGTTTAATATTATAAATCATATTTGGAGCTACATTAAAACACTCTAGATTAATAATATTCTTAAAAGATGATAATTCATAATTTAAATTATTATAAATAATATTACTAGTATTCACATAATAATAACCTCCTTTGATAGTCATGCTTTTTAATCGAGAACAAAAATCTAAAACATGACTAAAATTTAGTTCATTGTTTTCACTATCTGGGCATGGTAACTTTAATCTTTCACTTATAGCATATAATTGCAGAACATTAAAATTGAAACTACATTCATTTGCCAAATATTTGTCACCAAAGTTAAAGAATTCTACAGCTAGTTTTTTTACTATTAATAAAACATCATACTTATCAAATTCCAAAAAATTAAATAATTCTTCTGGCATAGACTTTTGCAAAAATGAGAGAACAGTTTGCAAATAAATTTCTAAGCCTACTCGACGTCTTTCAATAAAGTTTGGGTCTTTATTACCAATTATCTTTTTCCCAGGTAGTATATCCTTAGTTACTGTATGATCACTCACTAACTTGTTATGAAGTTCTAAAAATTCATTATATCTCTTTTTAATACTCCACGTTACTTCACCTACATTTACAGTAATGTTATAGTAAGTTACATGATGAGTATCTGTTTCAGCTGAAGATATAACTACGTTACATTCACGAGAATGAGTCACATAGCAAGACATAGTCGAATAAATTTGTTTAAATATGAAGTCTACACATCAATTTCTCATTCAATGTAAATAACATAGCAATAAAAAATATAAACATAATCTATAAAATGTACGAATATATTGTAAAATATAATTTGATAATATAAACCTGAAGACACAAAATAAATGTTTTCATATCATTTAAATTTGATAACATAATTTTGAATTAAAATATATTTTGTACGCACGCGCAAATAAAATGATTATCAACCGGGATTTGTCTTACGTGTTAATTTTCATCTAATGATTATGAAATTAAACTTATTTGAAAAATTCAAAAATTTCATGAAAAAAATTGTGATATAATTTATTTTAATATTAAGTTGTTATTAATTAATATGTAGATCTAATTATTTTTCATTTGAGAAAGTAAATTACTATTTCAAAAAGGCTTGTGTTTTTTGAAATCTTATGTTATTTTTAAAAAATAATATAAATACTTATGATTTATTTTTTCTTTGTAAATCAATTTAGTGTTTTCATTTCTTGATAATGACCAAAGTAAAATCTAGATCATCAATGGCTTTAGAGAAGAATACAGATAATTCTGTAGCGATAGCTAAGAAAACAGATTCCAAAACAACTAAAATTAAACAAAGTATTGTTGGTGATCGCTGTAATATAACAATTTTAATGTTCCTTTACACACTACAAGGTGTTCCACTTGGGCTATCAGCAGCTATACCAATAATGATGCAGAAAAAACATATTACATATAAAGAACAGGTATAAATTCAATAAATATATTTTATTTTTCAAATGGTCAGTGATAATCATAGTAACCTTTTCTATAAAAGGTTTCTTAATCAAATGTGTATATTCTGAGATAGCAGCGAGTGTATTATTAGAAAGAGAGTTAGTAACTAATTACTAAGCTAATCTCTTGACCAGATTAAAGAAACAACTGTAACCAAGTTTTAAACCTGATCCAGTCACACCATCTCTTTTGAGAAAATATGATTTTGACTAAAAGATTTATCATATAAACATAATTAATCATAGTAATGTAAATTAATTTTCAGGCCGAGTTTAGTTTTTCTACATGGCCATTTAGTCTAAAACTATTATGGGCACCGATTGTGGATTCCATATTTTGTGCAAAGTTTGGTAGAAGAAAGACTTGGTTGGTACCTGTACAATATTTAATTGGCAAGTTATTTTAAATTAATCTGTTAGCATTAAATGTTAACTAATATTTATTTTGTCTTTTAAGGTCTATTTTTGTTATTTTTGGGAATGAATATAAATGAATGGCTAATTTTAACTGAAGATCCAAACACAATGTTTTTAACACTGATGTTTTTTTGTTTGAATTTTCTTGCTGCTACTCAAGATATTGCTGTTGATGGATGGGCCTTAACAATGTTAAGAAAGTTGGTATTATTCTAATAGCTTACATAAAGTTATTTGTGCAATATATTATATTGTATAAATATTATTAATTTTTAGTGCAATGTTGTCATGAGAACTGTATTTAATTATTTTTAGAGCTTTGCACTTTTAAAGTCAACCTATCTATGTTTTATTACCGTATTGGACAATAATTGTCTTGATATTATTTATCATAGATATAGGGTGGTCAATTATATTAGGGGAGTTAAATTTAATTTTCCTCTGTCCAAAAAATAATTACTTATAATTTTACCAAATTTCTAGGGAGCTAGGCTCCCTATCCATCCTTGTATTTATCCCTATATAAAATGGTATAGAATAGAGGTCTATCTTTACTGGAAGTTAGTATTTTCAAAGTTTGCCAAAGCTTTGCTCTTGTTGCTGCTAAACATTAAATAGATAATCAAACATGATTACATTGGCAATTATACATTTATTTTGGCAAAAATATTTCCTAAATTTAATGAAATATTAAAATTTTCGGTCTGTCAAGTGAAAAATCTAGGCTTGAAGTCTATTCTTAGTTTGTAATATCAAATGCATTATAAAATTATATTATTTTTCAGAGAAAATGTAGGGTATGCGTCAACGTGTAATAGTGTTGGTCAAACTTTAGGTGTATTCCTTGGTTATGTTGTATTTATTACTTTAGAGTCTGCTTCATTTTGTAATAAATGGTTGCGAGCTATTGAAAGTCCTGAAGGCCTCTTAACTTTGCAAGGTAATAAATAATAATAATTTATTATTATAATATATTTATTATTTCAATGCATTTTATGTACAAAATTATGTAAATAATAAATAAATATGTCTTTATATTTTCTGACTAATACTAAGTTAATAAAATACTATTAATTTTTTTGTAGGTTTCCTCTATTTTTGGGGTTTTGTATTTTTATTTGCAACAACACTTGTAGCAATTTTCAAACATGAAAAAGATCAGTCTGTCGAAGCAGATCATCATCATTTAAATATTGTTCAAACATATAAACTACTTGGTGATATTATGAGATTACCGAGTGTTAAAAGTTTGTCAATAATTTTATTGACTGCAAAAGTAAAAATTAAAAAAATAATATATATTTTTTAACTTATTGTATATTTTTAAAAAGTTTTACAATTAAATCCTCTTTTTATTACTTTACAGGTAGGGTTTAGTGCAGTGGATGCAGTTTCCAGTTTAAAAATAATAGATAAAGGTGTTCCCAAAGATGATTTAGCAATGATTGGTTTACTCATAATTCCTTTGCAAATTATTCTACCTGTATTAATTTCCAAGTATACATCTGGATCTAAGCCAATGAATGTTTATTTAAAATCTATTCCATATAGGTACTTAGTATTTATGCAATAATTTTTTTTTAATTTTATTTAATAGTATCTTTTTAGGTTGACAATTGGTGTAATCATTACCATTTTAGTTCATTTTACACCATCATTCATAAATAACAGTGGTCATGTATCTATGTTTTATTATATGTTAGTAATGATTTCATTTTTCTTACATCAGGTAATTAGATAACTTTTACTATTAATATAATCAACATTTTCTATTAAGTTTATACATTTTTTATAGTTGACATTATATTCAATGTTTGTGTCAGTAATGGCTTTCTTTGCTCGAATAAGTGATCCTAAAATTGGTGGTACCAATATGACATTATTAAACACGTTAACTAACTTAGGAACAGCATGGGCAAATACTGCTGCTTTATGGATGACTGATTTTTTGACATTTAAACAATGTTCTACTGACAGTATGAATACATGTTCTACTAGTTCTGAAAATAGTGTAAGTTATTTAATAAATATAATATAAATTATATTATGATATAATAAATAATATATATATTGTTGTTAAAAAAAATGCATAAAGTTTTATATGTTTTATAATCTTTTATTTTTTAATAATAAAGATGTTTTTCAGGCTTGTGAATCAAATAATGGCAAATGTGAGATTAAAATTGATGGATTTTATGTAGAAGCAATATTGTGTACAATACTTGGAATATTGTGGTTTTTATATTTTTCAAAAATCATTAAAAATTTACAAAATAAAGATGTTAAACATTGGCATGTAAATGTTAAAAAATATTCATTGTTGTGATAAATGATATATGTATTATTTAGTATTAATCGTTTTTGTTTTTTCTCTTAATGCAACAACTTGATGTATCTTTTATTGTAAAAATATTTTTTCTTTGTGTAAATATATAAATTTTTTACTAGGAAATGTATTTTTAAAAAAAAATTGACACTGGAACTATTTTAATCTAATACAATATCTAATAAAAGATATTTATGAAACAATGTTTGATCAAAAATCATTTTATAAAAAAATTACTCACATGACAAGTGTATTAAATTATTTAAAGGTTTAAAAATATTAATTATTATTATATTTTAGCTTCGATGCGAAGCTGAGAAGGTATTAATTTTACTATGATGTTTTTTTTTTTTTGTGTCTGTTACCACTTTTTCTCAGCTCTCACCAAACCGATTTTATTCAACGATAAGTCAAAAGATCACAAATCGTATCTTTGAAGACATTACCCTCAAAAATTGGGAAATCTCCAAAAACATTACAAATTTTCGACATTTTTTCAATTTTTTTTACTGAAAACTGCCATAACTTTTACAGAAATGAACAAATCAATATAATTTTTTTTTTATAGATGCATAATGTCTTTATTTACCATTTGATGTATTTTTATTTTATAAATTTGATCCTTTACCTGCCTACAGGGAAGGATTCAAAATGACAACTTCTTCAACTTAACTTTTGAAAGTGTTCCGGAAATACTGTCACTTTTATTTATATCTTAAACTAAAGCTTATGTGAGTAATATACTTAAATATTAAAAAAAAAAATTTCGGACTTTATTTTGTCTTCATGGTGAAAATAGCTACTGTATTCAAAAATTTGCTATCTTTTTGTTAAAATTCTTGGTTTTGTATTTTATTTTATTATAAGGGGATTACATTGATTTTCATAAATATTGTATCAATCTAATTGACATAGTATAAAAAGTTAAACATATTTAAATTTTTTTGTTTCTTTGAATTCGAGAAAAATAACTTTAAAATTTGAACTAGCTAAATTTTCAATTTTATTAAGTGACGAATGGAACGTACACCCAAAGAAAAACCTCAATCAATTTTAATAGAGAAATTTTATCAAGGGTTTATGATAATGTTTTATTAATACGAACAAAATAATTATTCTTATAAATAATTATTGTTCAAGACAAGAAAGAAAAGTATCATATTGATAAATATATCATAGGTTTAATAGTAATGATATATTTATCAAATTGAACAATGAATTTATTATGTAGATCGAGGTTTTTCTCTGGGTGTACAGTTTCTGAGACGGTAACACTTGGGTCTTTCACGCCTGTGGCACTGAATTTTTTCTTAATTCTTTTTGAGTTAGAAAAAAATGTTTAATTCATTTGATTTTTATCTCATTTAGATTCAATAACTTCAATAAATATCAAGGATCCCATTACTGTAGTCTCCTCTCGTGAGAAGAAATTCATATTAATATTATTTTACTATGTTTTTTTTTGTAGCTATCATTTATTTTATCAGCTCTCACTTGAGCTACTTTTTTTTAAATTAAACACTATCTACAGATTTGCATCGATGCGTTTTTTATGATAGTGATTTTAATCACTGTCAGATATCATTTGTACTGGACCCAACTATGCCACGACCCCACTGTGCTGGGTTTTTTTTCAGTTGAATTATTAACATAAATTACAAAAGTAAAATCCATTTTGTATTTGATTATGAAGACAAAGAGAGGCTATTAAACTAGGGTTGTTATAAAATAATTAAATATGAAATATTTAGTTTTTTTTTTCATTGAATAAAAATTCATTTTTTCTTAAATTATTATAAATTAGCTAAGCTAATTTAGCTTTTAATGAAGCTTGCTCAAAGTATAGCCGGGTCATTATATGTACGGATTGACCAGCCTCAATTTTCACTAAAAATTAGACAGGGGCTATACTCAAGTTGCCAACCCTCCTTTAATTCGGTCGAGTATGATTTGATTAACAAAGTGTATATTTGATACAAATCAAAATGTATTTTTTAAAAACAACGGATTAAAGAATCTTCCAAAGTCATAAGTAATAATATTAAATGTAACACGCTTAAAGAATAATATTCATTGGTTGGTTGGATATTTTGAGGTTACTAAAATGAAACCCGGCTGTCGCTAAATGCATAGATAAGATATGACTTTTGATAACCAAACAATTATTTGTATTACAAATATGTAAAATTAAAATTTTGACATCATAATTTCTTAATTAGACTAAAACAAATTATATAGTACTCCGTGAATGCCCTAAAATTTTTGCATGTTTAAATTTTAAGAAATACTTAGGTTTACCAACCACTAATTATTACCATATTATTTAACTTATTGTAATTATTTTAATGAATGCTCAATAAACATGTTGATAAACATCAATCACAGTAAGTAAAACATAATATTGTATAAAAAATTATCTTTTATAAAATGAAACATGTTAGTTATTTGTTATGTAATAATAGTTATATAATAAAGCTATTTTATTATGGCGTAAATATATATGTAAATTTAACCTAAAATGATAAGCGTGTTTCAGTATTCAAATTAATGTTTAGTACAAATAAATTAATATATTAACATTTATCTAGTAAGGATTTATTTATGTATTAATCAGTAATTGAGCCTCAGTTGTAACAATTATCAACTTGTATTGTTCAAAGCATAATATTTACCCAAACTCAATATTATTTTTATTCTAATGTTATCATTGAGCATACAGAGTGATTCATTAAATATATAAAAAAAATATATTAATAATATACTATTAATTTTTGTTATTTTTATTTATTAATTGTCTAAATCAGTCCTACTATTTTATGTATGTCAAAACACCAATGTGAGTTTACCTGTAGGGTTTTTAATAGTTTTTCATAAGTTTAAAGTTTTTCTCATAAGAATTATTATGTATAGAAACCAGTAGTGTCTATCCAAGATTCATCAATAAAAAGGAGCTTATAAAAAAAAAATATTCGTGACCTTATGTTTAGTTATTTTAAACTTTAAATATATTTTAATGAAAACTAGATCCATGCAATTCGCACTTGAGCTAACCAGACCATACTTTAGGTAAGCCCATCCTTTGTTAAAAGTCAATTTATAATAATTTAAGAAACTAGGCTCCGCCTCAGACCCGGAGCCCTACGAGCCTTACGCGCCTTCGACGCGTAAGCCTCTTCGGGCCGTCATCATAAATAGGCCACTGATTCCGGTAGGGGTACCCGGCTACGCAGGGCACGATAAGTGTTTTGCAGAAAAAATATTACATCAGAATCAGTGTAACAAAAATATATTAAAAATGTTATTATTAAAATTAAGAAAATTTAAAAAGAGAATATAGTAAAATGTATTGGGTATAAGGTTGACGTTTGTTAATGAGGTTTTCCCTTTAAGCCTATTCAAAAATTATTTTAGAAGGATATTTAATATTTAAATACACCCCTGGTATACACAACATTATTAATATTCTAATTATTATAATTAAAAAAAAATTCAGCAGGTTATTATACGTTAATTTAATTTTGATAAAAATATTGGTAACTGCGATTTAACGTGGGACAGCATAGTTGTCATAGATGAATCCCAATTTAAACAATAAAATCATGGACTCATACATCATATATGAGAAAAATACGATTATAAATAATGTACTGTTCTGATAATGAAAGTACAAACTTATATAATTATAACCGTTTTGAAATTTATATATAACATATAATATTCCTCGATAAAATATAGTGCAAATGCAAAATAGTGTCCTAATAAAAATACATATTACACCAAAGGTTCATAATAAACGTATCAGCAGAAATGAATCACTGCGCATATTAAACCATGCGCGTGGACTTAAAAAAAAAAAAAATATGAAAATCCGAGCACGCTAAGTAATTTTTCCAGAAAAGCGTTTTTTTCCTTGTTCTATTATGTAATAAGATATAATAGGACGCGTACATGTGTATTATTAGCATACAGAAAAATCGTCATTTTCCGTTAAAATTTGATGAATTTCAAACGCTCGTAGCGGCCAGAGTTTTTGTCGGATCTCGGATTTTCCGATTTTTGGCGCTTCCTCGGCACGTACAGAACGCCGTGGTATGATTGCGAATTGTAAAAAAAATCGTTTTCATGTCGTAAAGTGTCGCAAGAATTTCGGGCGTCTCGGGCGCATTAAAAAAAAAAAATGCTCGTAAAACGGTGAAAATTGAACGGATTGAATTGATTTTTTTATCATATCTCAGGAATGTCATTGAGCGGGTGAGAAATTCAAGTCTTAAGTCGAAAACGGTGGAAATTTTAAAACGCTCGCGGGCGAGCGGCAAAAGTTTTCCGATCTTCGCCAATAATTTTCCCGGAGTCTGGTGACCGAGTACTTTCGTTGAAAAAAAAAATTTTGAAAATCCGAGCATTCTAAGTAATTTTCCCAGAAAAGCGTTTTTTCCTTGTTCTATTACATAATAAGATGTAACGAAAATGAATTTATTCTACAAATAAATATAGTTTAAAAAAACTAAAAAAACACGCTTTTAAAGTACATCGAACTAAAAAGCTAAAAATAATTTTTAAAATAAGCTTAAAAACAATAATGAACGAAAAATACTAGTATTATTGTGATAAAAGCGTCGGGCGCTCAATATACGAAAAATATGGCACAAAGCACCCACGCTTTTATTACAATAATACTAGTATTTTTCGTTCATTATTGTTTTAAGCTTATTTTAAAAATAATTTTTAACTTTTTAGCTCAATGTGCTTTAAAATCGTGTTTTTTTAGTTTTTTTTAAACTATTTTTATTAAAGTTTTTAATTTGATTTCAGCACTAATTTTTAGAAATTTTATTTAAATTTCTATTCTGATTTGGGTTTTAAATATTAAGTTGTTTCCGGTTCAAGAACTTTTTTATTAGGCTCAATCCTTGTTGTTCATACTGTATAGATATTTTTTTAATCTTTAAAAAAATTTTTATTTTCTCTTTATAAATACCAATAGCATGATGTGTAAAGAAGAGATCCCCTAGATTCTAGGGCCTAGAATATTATTTGTGAGGAATTAAATTTTGTCGATAGTTGATGACCTTTTATTATCCCAATCCTTGTTGTTCATACTGTATAGATATTTTTTTAATCTTTAAAAAAAATTTTATTTTCTCTTTATAAATACCAATAGCATGATATGTAAAGAAGAGATCCCCTAGAT